CCAAAATACACGTTACTTTCCTAACTGTAGTTATGGCTTGTAGAACTCATATATATTCGTCGTAGTTAAAAAACTTTAAACAATATAGATGATTCACTTAACGATTATCCTTGTAATTAAGTTAAGTTTTATACGTCTCCAGTATGTCTGTTCAACTATTGTCTGCCTTCGGCTTCAATCCAATTTTCTTTACTGCTAATTCAAAAGATGGCGACAACACAAATTGGTATTTAATTACGGAGAACTATTATTCTCTGCTTTAAACGGCCCAAACAACGGGCGTTAGTATAGATGGTACCTTTATTTGCCTCACATTTAATTAAAACGAGCTTATGATTAGGGACGACTGATTTTGAAATCAAAAAAGTTTTCTTTTTAGCCTACAGTTCCTTCCCTAAAAAGTAGAGTGAAAGCAAAGTTAATTAAGTAAGTAAAGTAAGTAAAAGTAAAGAAAATGATAGGTGTTCAGCTCATTTTCCGCCCCACGTAAGGGAATACAAGACAGTCTTGGATTTGGGATTCCACCTAGTAAATTCCGGATTCCCTGGTTATGGATTCCGATCTTTGTCAATGGAACTTGGATTTGGGATTCCTTGAACCGTATTCTGGATTCCAAAACCCAGGATTCCAGATTCCACAAGCAAATTTTCCCAGATTCTGGATTCCACAAGCAAAAACTTCTTGAATTCCGGAATCCGGATTCCCTCGGAGGCGACATTTTCTTTATAAATCAGATTGAATTGTTAGAGTACCTGAGTGAGTTGAGTTCCCGGGTATTTTTTGTACTGGAATCAATAGCAAGAAGGAAACTATATGGCTACAAAAAATCATTAATTCGTCTGTACCTTGAAATGCATGCCAGCCTTCCAGGCCTATTAAGCTGGAATAATGTAATGGCATAAGTCTGAAGTTGTAGGTTGATAGCCCTTTTAATTTTACCAAACGGCCGATAAAGAAGGCAGAAGGTAATCATGGGCATAAAAATACTTGAAATTCAACTGTTTGTAAGGACCCTCTATTTTCTTGATTTTGACTGAATAATCTGCAAAGGGAAAAAAAAAAAAAAAAAAGAAGGCTCACATGAAATTGTTTACACATAGATACATAAAAGGAGATTGGAAATTTTTATTATTTTTCAGTTCCTTTTCATTCACTTCTGCGGGAGATTACACTAACAATTAAAAAGAACGTACCTTAGTGGTTAAAGACAAGAATTGTTGTCGGCTACTTTAGCTGATTAGATAATAGCATTTAATTTCAGATACAAAAGGATCCCGAGTACTCAATTTTAGAATGTTGAATACTATGAACGTTTGTGAAGAAAAAACGAAAATAGCGGGTTCCCAGTTTAGAACAAAGAATAAACAAAACCAAAACAGAAATGATCATGCTGTGTTTTGCCCAAAGAAAAACTTTTTCCAGCTAAATATTTCCTTTCAATACTTCAGTACCGGATCTCCTGTAAAGATAAAGGAAAAAAAACACACACACACACACAAAAAACAACTTAGCAGCGTCAGCTTTTACAGAAACTTTGGCACTGCTCATTGAGGGGAAGGTGAATAATCCTTAGTTCAGTCGGTCGGTTTAACATCTTTAAGCTTTTAGATTTCAAAAAATAGCTTTAGAGCACAGATAATAAATCCATTGCGAATTCTTACCGACCAAAATTTCAACGGCAGCCATGCTAATTCAGATAAAGTTTACTCCTTGAATATGTAATCTGTCGCAACCTGCTCTAATCACTGACAAGAGCCAATCAAACGGTAATCCCATAAGCTCTCTTATTAATGCTTTGTTCTTGGCTTATAACAAGAGAAGAAAAGAAAAGAAAACACTTTGTAGTTTTATGCCAAAAACCATTTAGACTACTAAGGACTTAAGGGGTACACAGTCTGTATTTGTTCAGTCAGAGATTATCAGTTTGGCCAAACATTAACCTGAAACCATAATATTTGAAGAGGTCTAATTGCATACTGATTTCACCTCCCTTGCGTATTCATATCAACAGTATCCCTGGATTTATTTTAAGGCTCAGAACATCGCTTACTTTGAAATAATCACCACATCTTCCGCCATTTATACCAAGCATTGCTTTCTTCCTGGAAAGCAATTTTAGGACTGTGTAAAAGGCTGAAAAGGAAGGCTTGTTATGATGAGAGGTCGGTGAAGGAGTCCACGCAACTACGGACAGCTGTACGGACAAATAGCTATAATCATAGCTCAACCTGCAACACACTGCATTCCCTATACCACGTTGAAGATTATTCCTGAGAACGAAAACCCTTCACTAACTTTTCATACTTTTTATTACGGGAGTTTTGAGCATCAAGAAATGTCAAGGTGTTTTAATCCACTTCCACGAATACTAGAAGAGCGTGAAACGAGCAGCGAACAGCAGTTGCCTGAAGTACGGAAGGTTTCCTGGACAGCTCACAATATCTCTCAAGAATGGCTGAAGCGAATGAGCTCAATAATTTCAGTGAAAAGTGACATCGAGTCTATCAACAGTGATGTTATTTCTGTTTCCAAATACAACGCACTTAAGCACAGAGATATTAGCCGCCGCTCTCGAAAATGCCACGATTATATTTCTACCGTTGGCAGCCCTAAAGAGGCCGGTTCAAATTCAAAGTCATCTATCGAAGAAACTTCAAGGCGCAAACCTGACTCAATGTATATATCTTTGGTAAGCAGAAGCACGAATGAAGTACCTGTTTTGCCAAGGAAATCACATGATAGACATTTTACGTAGGCCAGTGCAAGATGTAACGAAATGGACCGGGCCGCACAAGCTCAAGTCATAGATAGGTGCACAACCACAAATGCACCGTTCGGTATAAGGGTCCTAAAGCAATAATAATAATAATAACTTTATTTGTATAGCGGTATATACAAAAGCTCTATATCGCTTTACAATCAAAAAAAAGAAAATAACTAACAATAGCACCAAAACAAAAAGTCAACTGAAAGCGAGTCTAAAAAGATAAGTTTTCAATCTAGATTTAAAAACATCAACTGATCCACTTAATTTAATGTCTAAGGGAATATCATTCCAGTGCTTTGGGGCAGCGACCGAAAAGGCCCTGTCCCCATAGCTCTTCAGGCGCACACTCGGTACTTCTAATAAATGTTTGCTAGCTGACCTAAGATTTCTTGTAGGGTTATATGGGACTATAAGTTGACTTAAATACGGAGGCGCCAGGTTATTAGAGCTTTAAAAGTTAACAGTAATACTTTAAAGGTAATTCGCTGCTCCACAGGTAACCAGTGTAGCTCCTTAAGGACGGGGCGAATGTGCGCAGCCCTAGGTTGCCCAGCTACAAGGCGTGCAGCGCAGTTTTGAACGCGCTGGAGCTTCTGAATAATATACTCCGGTGACCCGAGGAGCCACGAGTTACAATTGTCCAGTCGACAAGTAACATAAGCATGGACGAGGGTCTTTGTGCTCTCGGAAGTCAGATACATTCTAATCTTCGCGATATTCCGAAGATGAAATAAAGCAGATTTACAAACGGAACTCACATGCTTATCCAGTGACAAGGTCTCATCAAAAACAACTCCTATGTTCCTAGCTTTGTCAGACCGCTCTACACGATGATCACGCGATTGGTTTCTTTTGGAAAGTATCCTGAAAGAAAATTGAAATTTATCCTATGCTACTACGTTTGAGCACTATTTTAGGATCCTCTGGCAATCGTCCTTGATTTGAAATCTATTTAAATTATAAGTCGATTGTGAAGATAACTGACCTCTGGACCAGTGTACCAAAGTTTAAGAAATACATTTATTTTGGGATCTTAACAGCGTCCTTACCGCGTCAGTAACGCGATACAACGCATGGATGGATGGGAAGGATTCTCGCGTTCCTCACCGCGCTCGCCCGTCGGGAGCATTTCCCACCTTGAGCATATGGGCTCCTGACTAGTTTTTTTCGTTCTGTTTTGTTTTTTCTTTTTTTGGTAGGGGGGGGGGGGGGGGGGGGGCGGAGGGAAAACTACGTTTTTGGTTTTCCTGCGACCCGTCTCCTCTCCTTCCACCGCCACTTTGGATAGCAGCATGATCCCTGGGTCTGCCAAAGAATGGCCGAGTGAGCTTGGGAGTGTCCACTGAAAACAAGCCAGCCGGAATGGTCACCGACCTTTCTTATGTAACCCTCTAATGAAGTTCGCAAAGAGAGCGGGAGCTGAAGACAAATCAACCGTTAAATTCTTTTTATTTGGAGACTGAGAAACTTGGCAAGGAAATACAATTTACCTTGCATGCTTTATGTATATTTACAACGCTTACTTATATAACTGTATAATTTAAAATACCCCTTAAAACCTTGAAGTAGTCATTCGCGTCAATAGCTACAGTATTCTTCTAATGTAGAAACACAAAATAGGCCACTGCCACAAGAGCAAAAGGAAAATTAAACTCAGAATTCCTTACACTTTTTTTTCTGATATATATGTACTAGGTAATCAATGGCAACAAGAGGACATGTTCTCTTAATAGCAATTAATTAGGAATGAAACTTGGTCTGGAATCCAGTCTCACTTTAACTGCTGCTTCTAGACTTGAAAAACGATGAAAAATTCGACATGTGTGTGTACGACTTTTTAATTTGCAGGGCTAGGTACAAACTACAAATGTCTGTTAATCCGAGTGATTTGCTCCTTGAAGAACTAGGCAACCAGCGGCAACAATACTGTACTTACTCCGTATAATTGAAAAAGAAAACAAATTAAATGGGTTAAAAGTTGTTCGCCAAATATTGAGGACGTATGACCGCACTGGCCTGGACACTAGTTTTGTCACTTTTTGAAAAACGTTTAAAATCCGCTTTAATCGTGCTTTGTGGTTTCTTTGATATTCGATCTTTCACTCAAAACCTGTTCTTGAATATCATTTACTCATTATTTACTCATCTTCTAAAATTATTTTATTGTATTTGGCTAAAACGGATGGAATTAAGTATCCAATTGAAGATCGGCGGGTCAGATCTACGGGTACAGTTACATCTGCAGCGGGATATACTCTGAACTTCCAGACAACTCACGTTGAACGTTTTGTCGTCCGTTCGAACACAAAAGTTTCCTTGGTGAAAATGCAATGCATTTCAGGGTTTTACAATTTTTCGCCCTACTCTGTTTACAATCAGAGGTGAGAGATTCTCTTGTATAAGAATCCGTTCCGCTGTGTTGTGCTCCTTGCTTTGTTTCATGCATGAAACCGCTGATCAATGAAATGTAGGTCGAGTCTGGCTTGCGGAATGTAGAGCTGTCTTTTTTCGAAGAAGTGGGATCGCTGCTATCTTGATCTGTGAGTTTTATCACTGCCCTTTCAAATGATATAGACGCGTTCTGACGCGAATCCTCTAATACTACTTGCTTTTCACCCCCGGTGAACTTTGTCAAGGGATAGTTTACAGAATGAAATGGCCCTCGAGGTTTGTCAGTAGTTGACAGAGAAAAGCTTTCTGTGCTAATCTTATCAAGCGAGTCATGCGAAAGCTTGTCAGTCCTTTTAACCTTTTGTATTTGCTGAAGCTGTGTTGTAATTTCATCTCCTGTAGTTTCGTCTTCTTCTGTTACACAAGGTAGTTGATGCAAACGTTTTATGAATGGAAAAGAGTTCGAGCGCGAACGCCTTCGTCTAACTTTAATTACTGGAGCCGCAATCAAAGTCGACCTCAATAAATTTATTTTGGATAGCCACTCCTCTGATAGCTTGTTGTCCGCCCAGTTTATCGTCTGAACATGCACATTGGAAACACAACGGTGCGCTTCTTTTGGCGCCTCCTCCACTGATTCTTCTTCTTCTATTACCCTCGGTAACGGATTCCAACGTTTTATAAACGGGTAGGAATTAGAACGAGGTCGGCCATATTTGGTTCTGTACCATGATACATTGCTTACTTGCTCCACATAAGATCGAGACAAGTTTGATGAGCATGTGAACGATGATGACGTTTTCAAAACGGTTCTTTCTTTATCAGGAAGAATGAACGGATTTTTTCCAACGTTTTGTCGTGTCGAGCAATTTTCCTCAGCGGGGCAATTGGTGTCGGCAATGATCTTCATTTCTGCAATGAAAAATGATGCCAGATTTGGTTATACGTACGCGGCCTTATCACATCAGATTTCATTATCAAAGTCCTACTTTTGGCGACCACCCAGAATACTTTAAATGCGAGTCATTTCAGAAATTCGCGATAACCCTGAAAAATGGTCCCATTCAGAGTACGGAATTTTTGCGAATGAAAAACTCGCGGCAACGAACTGCTTTAACAATACTTTGCCAAAATCAGTTCACAGTTTTTAAATTGCTTCTATCGCGTGATAAACTCAGTCTATATTGCTGAGCGACGGCCTTTGCATGCATGATCAGAATGAACAGAAAAAAAAAAGTTAATTTTGTAATAGTTGTGAACTCAAATGTAAGCACATGCTGGAGATTGACCTTTAAATTGTGGATTATTATAAGCGGTTCATGATTAGTAATCTTAAATTCAAAGTCCAGACAGGTGCGAGGCCAAGAACAATCATGATTCTACACTGACTGACTGGTTACCGGCGTACCAAGGAAGAAGTGATTCTCCTCTCTTCTCACTTTGTTTTTCTTGGCAGTTTGTATTACTGTTCTTTTGTTCTTGGTTTACGGTGTAAGCAACGTCTCTATGATGAATGCAGCCATTATTCGGATTTGAAATTGTTTTACTGTTGTAGCTTCTAACTGGGACTTCCTCCTCAGTATTCCTCAGTAAACTATGCTCATCAAGCCTGTTTCGACAGTGCAAAAGCCGAAATTTGCAGGAAATTCTTAAACAGGATATGACACCACTTGAATTGTTGTTTATTTTTTCTTTCAAATTGCTTTAGGCTAAAGGTAAAAGGATTTAAAGGAAATGGTCCAAATCCTTCGAGAGATGTCTATATGCGATTAGATAACACTGCAAACTTTCCGGCGGAGTGTTCAGTTTACTGAGGCGACAGTGAAATCAGTTTAGCGAAAGGACCAATGAATATATATCAGATGGATGGCAAGTTAATGTTGGCCCATTTATTGGGAAGTGATAAGAAAAGACACAAGCCTACAACATCGAGGTACTTTAAAACGTGACATGGATATTGAGCAAGAAACATTCCAGTATCCATGGAACAGGAGAGAGAATGCACGATGGGAAATTATTGCGATCTTTACCAATTACGTAATCTTACATTTTAAACCAGGACTTGAAGAATAGCTCAGTTTTCGGTCCACTTTGTTTGTAAGCTTTCGGGTTTTGTATGTTACAGAATAGCTATTATACCGAATATTGATCGCGCGATGTTACTGCGACAGAGTGATGCTTTAGATCGGTCCGCACGAAAGATGCCAGTATTAAAAGAGGTCTTAAAATTAAAGAAAAATAGTGAAGTCATCAGGAAAAATATAAACTTAAACGAAAAACGTAAGCCATAAAGCAATAAACTACACATGACGTGGACTACACCGGTACAGCCTTAAGGCTGGCCAAGGGCAATGTGTCAGAAAAGGTTTTGTGCTTAAAGTTGACACAAACGGCAACAATATAACACAAAGTCAAATATAGAATCGTCTGTCCGTAACTAAAACAATGAGAACCGCATAAATTATTTCATATATTTGCTTAATAAAATTTGTAATTTGCTTTTAGGTTTGGGGTTCTGATGTTTTGATGTGCTTTTTTAAATACATTTTTTGTGTGAATACGGGCAGGAACTCAACTAATTCCCCACTACGAATACAGCATTGTATACGTACAGAAAGTTGTTAATTCGGGCCCACGTCCGCGTATTAATTTTTATACAGGTAGACTAAGAGCGTCTCTGTCGGACTTTGTGCTGTTCATATATTTACTGCCTAGTTTCAGGGAAAGAACACAGATCTTTTGTAAAAAATGAGAGAGGTTGAACATAAAACTTATGTATTTTCGAAGAGGTTTGTTGTAGTTACTTTACTAAAATGGTACCAAAAAAGTCGAATTAATATCACAGACACGAAGAACTTGGAAATCAATATAATTATATAACAATAAGGATGCAGTAATTGTTTCAATTTTCCCGATCAAAATAAACTGCTAATATCAGACATTTTTGTTTTGAACAAAAATCGAAATTAATCGGCCATATCATCTGCTTGTCCTTGGTTTCCATGGAAAAAAGGTTTTTGAACAGAGTGCGGTTCGGGGACAACATTAAAGATTTTGGAAAACTTTAAAGAAGCCGGCCAAATCTATAACACTGTCGCCCTTACACTTGGCCTTCACACTGCAGTACATTGCTTGGAGATAGATTTCTTTTTGGGAGGGATTCCATCGTCTTAAAAAGCTTTCAAACTGTCTTGACTGCGAAAAATAATAAATCCGGTTCAGTAATTTACAGCTGGATTTAACTGATACATTACAGTGAAGGGTATAAATATGCTTTTATCACTGCTGTAGACACTGTATGCTCTTTGCTTTGGTCTGAAATTTCCTCGGTCCTCTATGAATAACTAATGATAATTATTAAATAAAATATATAATATATGATTATAACAATTTTTATTGATCGTTATTATTCTTATAAGTGGTGGAAAAACTTTGAAGACATTCTTTCGTCAAGAAAAAAAAAGAAAAGAAAAAATCTTTTTATTCAATGAGTTCAGTGCACAGTAGCAGAAAGGCACGGTTACAAATTACAAGCAGTTTCAAAGCGCCACAATGTTTTGCTTAAGACTAGCCTAGAGCACACGAGACAAGTCAAAGATCTAGTATTTTCATGTAGACTTGTACGGTTATTGCAGTTTCAAGTATTTTACGTTTGCACTATTTCTACATCGAAAAACAGAGAAAATAAAAATATAAACATTAGACAAAAAAAAATCAATAAAAATAAAAAGTGTTAACTGGGAATTAAATGAAAAAAATATAACCGACGAATAGTACTCGATCGGGTGTATTCGATGGTTCAGTGCTCAGTAGCATGTTAGGTGGTGTGCAAAACGTGACTACGTTTTCTCACGATTTCTAGTGCACGCGAGCGGAACTTGTAAACTTAGTATTTTCGTGTAGCGTCGCGATTATCGTTATGTCTTAAATCATGTCGTTTTTTAGTTTATTTTATGTTTGCACACGTCTTTAGTCTAAAAAGTCCACATTATAAAAAATGAAAGTGTTAAGATTGTTAGATGAATAGAAAATAGCAGGCGAAAATTATTTAGTTTTCTCCGGTTCACGCACCGGTGTCACACTTTGAACACTAGAGAGCGGTGCTTTCAATGGTATGCAGAACGTATTAAGTTTACTTTCAGCATTTTCGTCTTAATAAATATCGCTCACCTGAAAGAAGAAATTTCCAGATTTCTATGGGTACCTTTGACGGCACGGTGGAAAATGAAGATCTTTATTCGAACGCGCCCGTTCCAGTTATGTACTGGAGACGTGATGCCTGCACTCCAGCTTAAATAATTTCAATTTGCAGATTATTGACAGACAGGTCAAACAATGGCGTGATGACAGGTCCATTAAAAAACACCCATAGGTATCGGCATAATTGATTAGACACACTGCTATTCATCTTGGACGTTTACAGTACTAGATGCTGAGCTGACTAATATGTTTACAGACCTTAAAAATACCTTTTGTCCTCACTCGAACTATCAAAAATTCGTGTCAATTTACATATTGTTCAGGTGTTCAGGTGTGAGTGAGTTATATATAGCAATGAATATTTTTTATATTATTTGTTTTGAAAATTTTTTTAGTATTCAGTGCAAATGATGCCTCTCTTACTGAAGTTTGTTAATATGAATCACCAAAAATATACAAAATTTACTGATCTGAACAATGCTTCTGGCTATAAAATTTTTCAGCCTGTAAATGCTACTTTAAAAGTATAAGAAGGTGAAAATTAGGTTAACCATCGGTTTCTTATTTTAGAGTGAGAAATATGTAAATCGGAGTGCCCCCGCATGATTAACTTTTTGTAAAAAGGAATTCGTGTTCAATTTTTTACAACCCACGAGACAGCGGGATGTGTTTCGTGATCACGTACAGAAGTTACTCCGCACGAAACAAACTGATCAGCGATAAAGAAAGTCACGCTCTGAGATAGATGCGTGCTCGGAAGACAACACCATTATAAATGCATATATTCTTGGTTTGATGTGACAGCTTCAAGTATTTTCTTACCCAAAGGGCATATAACATTTAGTTTCGTTCTCTTCTGAGGCAGATGGTTGGTATGTTGTAGTTACATGCAAAAGCGTTATTTAAAATGCAATTAACACAGACTGCATAGATACCACGCTCGCTGTATTTTTGTTTTTTGACTGATGTTTATTTGAATCAATTTCCTCGTTCTCCCTATTGTTTATCTGGGGAACATTTATTACACTGTGCGAGCTACAGTTCCTGTCAGAATGTCGGAAATTCAGCTCTTTTCCTTCGTATACCACTTTTCTTTCTTTTCTTTTAACATAACAAAAATTAAGCCCTCAATAAACAGGGGCACCCAACGAGGATATAGTTCAAAATCACTTAACATAGCATTGTTGAACGTATTTTAGTATTTAAACGGTAGATATAGGCATATTTTTATCCCCTAAAAACTTTTCATCTGTTCGGATTTCCTAGCTGAAAGTCTAGTGATTCGAAAATTATAGGGATCCAAACTTACCTTTTCGAAAATTTCAGCCAGGAAAAGGCTCCCGAAAATTCTAGGTGCCCTTTTTTAGGGTAAATATCCGTTTAAAATGGGTCATTATACCATTTTGTAGATGTTCGAAAATCCTAGGAGAGGCAGGCAAGCAAGAAATTTTACAACAAATGTTCCGAAAATTCTAGTTCTCAAATCGTCTTCCGAACAGATGTTTTCCCGAAAATTGCTGTTGGGTGCCCCTGAATAAATCTTCTAATTTTACTGAAGCCAACTGATGTATATACTTGGATTACTCAGCGACTCGAGACCTGTTTTCCGAGCTTTGCGAAGGAACTCTGACGACTACCCTTCGATCTTCCTGTATATAAGCCACTCACTAGGGCCATTTATACGAGGAAAAATAAGACGCGTCTTACATAAGACGCGAACTGTACCATTTATACGAGCATGTCTTAGCTAAGCCGCGTCTTATTTTAGACGAAATGTGCCGTTTATACGGAAAGTTCGCGTCTTATGTAAGACGCGTCTTATTTTTCCTCGTATAAATGGCCCTACTATGTTCTGCGGAGAACATAGAGATTAGGTGAAAGGTTTGGAACTCTGAAATGAATGTAAAAGCTGCGATCAGGCGGTCGTTGTTCCCTTTAGGTTAAACTACAAAGATTAAAGGTCCTCCTGCTCGAAGACATGTACGTAGGAGAGGCTTGTTATTGTCAAAATGGATATTTCGTGGGAAGCATGTTTAAGGAATCACGTTACTGAGTGAATGAATCTCTTTTCTAGAAACTTTCCTATCCTTTTTTTTTTTTTTTTTTTTTTTTTTTTTAATTCTCTCTCTTTTTTTCCTCCCCTCGGACTGTAAAGGAAAAGCACTTTGAAACTGTGAATAGTTGACGTTGAAGCCCAGCATAAATTATTCCAAGTTTTGATTCATTTTAAATAAACTTGGAATTTTTTCAATCGAGAGGAGCCCCTCCGAACTCTATAGGCAATAAGAAGCTAAAAATGAACCCGACATATGATGCAAACTGCGTGATTTTTTGTCAAAAATTAGCGATTGCGATCTGCCAGTTAACATCAAAAACCTATAGTTCATTTATCAATTCACCTTAATCACGGTGTTAGACACACGAGTATAAAACATAAGAGCACAGAGCCGGAAGCATTTTTGCGCGCCACAAGTTTTCGAATGGTTTCTATTTTACTAATCATTTTTAAAATTTCTAGCTGTGTGCCAATTTGCACCGCACTCACGAAATTAGATGAGGCAGGAGGCGGGGGAGGCTATGAGATGATCGTTTTCAAAATTTTTCGGAAATCTCATGACCTCTCACGTGTGTTTCGCCGTTTTTACGAGTGAATACTAAAAATAAAGTCACGAAAGCGGAAAACGGAAGTTTAGTTACACCCGTTTTGTTGTTGATAACCACAGATATTTACGAAAACATCACGATCAACGATTTTGAACGCGGACGGCGTGTTATTAGAAATAAGAGTACCATCTTTCATTTTCGCAATCGTTAAATGAATTGTTTTCGAAGGAAAAAAAATAGAAATGTTTTACACAGACATGATACCGCAAACGGCTCACCTAGACAACCTGTTGTAGCATAGAGGATTTGCTTAAAATATTGATGCAAGGATCGATGAGATGAACTTGACAATAAAATTAAGGTCACTGGAAAGGGGAAAATATGCTGATTCGCTTTGTGGCCCAACGATGCTTGACATAACCAGGGGAAAAAGCTGCCAGCTCAGGAAAAGATTTTGAAAGTATTTTACATAACTGTGTTATTCTAACAAGTAAAAAAGTTGAAGCAGGAATCCAACTAATGGCCCCGCACATGTTTCATTCGGTTCTTGCAGCCACATGTTTATCGTTAAGTTACATAACCATAGCAGTAACACCAAAATAGATCGACAAAAAGTAAGAACATTCCAAAACCAATCTTACAAAATGTCAACTTTTCCTGTTACAAAAGAAGGCTGAACTAATACATAACATCTGATTTTAATATCAGGGTTCTTAGGACTTCATAAGGTGATAAGACTTGTCGTACAACACGCACATACGACGCACGAGAAATACATACTCTGAATAGTTTAAGGAAAAATTTCAGCGAAAATTATTTGGAACTTAACTGAGAGCAAAATCAGTTTTTCATTTACTTGTTGTTGTTGATCATGATCGACAGTCTGCCAATTTTGATTAACTCTATTTTTTTAGTTTAAGTTGTTTCAGTTTAGTTGTAAACCATTACGGGGTCGTCAGCCAAACGTAGACAAATGTTTTCTCCAAGTCCACTATAAATAAAATAAAAGATTTAGCCTTTCTGATTATTTATAACAAGAGAGGATAAAGGGGACAGAGGAGGCATCCCCTATACATACCCTATAAGTTACCTCGCGCCGCGTGGATGTTTCGCGGAGGTTTCGCATGACTAAACGTCGTGCAAAACATGTCGGGCGAAAGGCAATGAAAGCGTAAAGAGATCGAGAGCATTTCTGAATATTGAAGTAAAATGAGTCGGCGCTCATCTGGCAAACGGGAATCGCTGCAGTCTTTGACAACTCGTGAAATCAGTTTAACTCGAAGTTGTCGTAACCTCAGTGCTTTAAAAAAATGAGAACTTTCGCCGGTCTATTGAAACCGGTCGTTTGTATAATAAGGCAAGTAGGACGCCAAGTGTTATTTTTGTTGAGTAATAAAGGACTAATAAAAGAATAAATATCAAAGTAGAAATTGCTCTCTTCAAACTGTAAATTATAAATGATCCTGAGAGCTGAATATTCAGTGTGTTAAGGATTTCCCTGCTGTACTGTTAGCTCTATACCGGAGAGGAAGGGGGATTCTTTTTTAATTTCCGTTTTCGCTGACACGGCTTTAGCAGAAATCTCTCTTTAGTCGTTTTCGTCGACAAAACAAATAGCAATTTCGCTCTCCGCGTCTTCCGCCATTTTTTCTGCCTCAATTCGTGAAGGACGCGTTGCTCTGAGCGTGGGTCATCCACGCGGAACACATTCGCGCTATGTGATTGGCTGTTGTGTAATCCCCCTTGGGATCTATGGTCTTAAAAATAACTCGAGACGAATTACCTATGGAATAGGGTGTGTATGGGGGATGCCTTCTCTCTCCCCTTTATCCTCTCTTGTTTATAATTATTGCGGGCGACAAGAGGAACCCGCAGTCCTAATCTCCAGGCTGTTATTACGCATGCGTCGTAGGTAGTAGCCAGCATTCGTTTGGACTTCCACTAAGAATGAATGGAATGCACAGAACGCAATTTGATCGCGCTCGTTTCGACCTTCTGCCCCTCGTAATCTGATCACGCGTGTTTTGAAAATCTGTGAAGTCGGTGAAACGTGCGCAAGCACAGCGATGGAGCGGAGAGCGAGCAAAAGTGTTTGGACGTCCGATCGTTGTCACGCGCACCCTCTGATCTTTAGTTATTGCTAGTTTATATGTCTATTTCGTATTTCTGTTGGGTCAGCTTTGATCCAGTCCCGGCCCTAGAGCGGCTCCATTATTCCGCGCAGACTCGGGTAACGTGGTTCGAGAGTTTGTGTCACCGACATGCATTGAACGAGAAGGCCTGGGGAGATGCCGTGCAATGACTAGTCAAAGTCAGCTTCATTCTGAAATGGTGCTCAATTACTTTAGTTGTGGACTGCTCAGGAGGTGCTCTATAGTTTGTTACAAGACTTGTCCCCAGTAGTCTTCTCCTAATGCGCACGGCAGGAGCAGGTGGTGTGATGGGAAGCTAAGAGAGAAGAGAGGAAGACGTCCAGTCCCTCTCTCTCGCTTTCCTGCTTCCCATCACATCCCGCGCTTCACAAAGGAGAGGCTGTGTGGGGATCCCCGGGAACGGGTACATCAGGTTTGTGACTCAATGAAAAGACTAACAAGTATCTGAAAAAAATATAATTTTTTTCGCACAATCTGATTCTGAACAAAAGGGAGAAGAAAATCACAGTTAAAAAGATACATTTGGCTGTTTAAAATCCTAGATCCCTTGCTTATGGACGTGAAAAGCTGAACTCGCGAAGGCTTTTTCGGACAGAAGCCTTTGTTTGTTCCACTGGGAACGGTTTGACACCGTGATGCAGGTCAGTGTGTGTGGCTTAAAAAACGGAACATTTCCATGTGAGACATAAATAATATAATCAGTGACTCATCAGATCAAAGACTGACAGTATTTCTCGTCTTTATCGATCAGTCAGTGTAGCTCTCTTTTGCACTGGAGTTCAACTAGTTGTGGAGGTATGATCGAGCGACATGCTCTCTACGCGAGACACTTTTCATCACAACAAATGGCAGTTCTTGTAACGGGTTGGAATGTTGATAATAATATATGACTGAATGAATACTTAGTTACTTATTTTATTTGACTGTATTACGTTTTGCCGAAAACGGTCTACACAGTAATTTAACTCTGTGGCCAGCAATGACACAAGTGGCCAGATAATATTCTCTGTTTTCATGCAAACTATTCAATACAGAAACTCCAGAATCTGGGAAATGAAAGAAGATAAATATACGAAAAGCCTCGCCTGGAATTAGGCCTGTGCGATACGATATTATATGCGGGATATTCGCAAAAACGTTTTATCCAAATTTATAAAGATTTGTATGTAGACGCCATGATGTTGGTGTCTCTTTCATCTGTTTTTGAGTTCTCCTAAAAATGCGCGAATTTGTCCCTTGAGGAACTCAAAAAGATTGAAGTAATGTTTATTCTGAGACAAGGAATGCTTCGATAGCAAAATCTCAAAAAATCGGTAATGTTTTCAACCCATATATTGAGCTTTCCCGGCTGCCTGCTAGACGCCGCGTCCTCTATCGCAAAACTAATGGGGCACTGCAAATTTGGAGGAAGATGGTCTGCTTCAGTAGGGATTTTACTTTTCTCATAAATATTTCAAAATTAATAGCTACTCCTCATAAGACAAACTTACAGCAATGGGCATACATACACCCTTTACTGTCTTTGATACGCGGGAATTTTCCCCGTTCATTGACCCGACGGCTATGCCATGCTGATGAGCCCCAATAAGGGCGAAACTGCTGTCCATGGCTGCCACTGCCTGGGTGATATGGCTGTGCGCATGCGTGAGGTACTGGCCAGGCCGTAGGTTGGTGAATGTGTGCCCCTTGCTGTGATTTTGTCTTACTCCTCCTCATAAGCATTTATTTTTCATTATTACTAATGTATTATCTTTGTCGCTTGACTTGCCACAGCCATTTTTGACTTTTTATTTCAATCCTTAAACTACTACACGAGAAATTTGTGCAATTTGATCGGCTTAGAACAGTGGTATTTCAGCTTAATTTGAAATATCTGGGACTAGAGAAAAATATCTAATAATTACGAAGGAATGGATCATTTGACAAATTCCCTATTAATTTAGCTTATTTGACTGAAGATGAAAGATACCGGAAGGAAAAATGATTGTGGTTACATTCATTAAAGTGCGTGGTGCAAGTAATCTGCAAAGTCCAAGTTTTGTATTATTATGAGTGTGGCTGGCCATGTGATCTGAAAAAAGTAGTGTTTGATGTCCAAAGTGGTTCTGGTCTTAAACACAGCGGTCCATGGTTAAAATGAATGAAAATACTGGAAAAAACAAGATCAAATCATAGAACCCAGCATCTAACGAGGACCCATGCCTTAATTCACCTGAGGAACCCTTTCAAAATGAAAATTTGTACAAATAAAAGTGTTTAGATAAAGAAGTTTAGCTGCTGCAATATCACCTGAAAAGAGAAACTCAGTAGAATCGATACTGAGTTCCTTAGTTTAAATGTTGGTGACGTCATGTGAAAACCGAGAATTGACGAATCAAAAACAATCAATCTGATCAGTCACCAAGAAATCCTGCAGTTGTACAGTCTCACCTAGCTTGCTAAACCCATGTACTATGCAAATCATATTAATCACCGAATTGAGTGGACGTTTCGGGTTTTCTTATAGAAGAACACAGCACTCTTCGGTTCTTTGTCTTTCTTTTGGGCGCGCGGAGTGCACGTGCCAGGTGCATTAGTGTTACAGCGAAATATGCTCCGCAGGGATCGCTTGAATCTTTCACTATGAAGACTATACAGAAAAGGATTTACTGCTGAATGCAAGCAAATAAAGGCAGTGCCGATCATGTATGCAGTGGAACCGTTCCCGAATCCAAAGTAGGACAGAAAGTAGGCTACTGTGTCGGGCAGAAGACAAATCGCGTGTAATAAGGTTACAATAAAGAGAACCATCGTGACCTTTTTCCTTCTCCTTAAAAGCGCGACGTGTGTTGCTCTGCAAAGCTTATTATTCCATAGTTTGCAAAGCACTCTTCCGTACAAAACAGCCATTAATGTAAACGGAATGACAAAGTCGATAAAAAATGTTATCACTGTATATATTCTGGCTTGTTGAACATTGGACCAGTCTTCGATGCAAATATTGTTGGCCGCATTGTATCTCATCACCAAGATAGGAGGAATCTCCGATGAGAGAGCCATCAGCCAACACAGTAGAATCCCAAGTTTCGCATTCCGTGACGTTAAATTTCTTTTTCGGTTGTGTGGAAACATTATCGAAAGATATCGCTCAAACGCGATTAAAACGAGAGTGAAGACAGAGGCGGCCGAACCAATCCAGCTAAAGTTTCCTCCCGTAAGTAACTTGCATAAAACGTCACCCAATGGAGAGTCAGCCTGGCGAATGAGAGGACGAAGAATGTACACGGGGGTTAAAAACAGTCCCACAGTCATGTCCGCGATTGCAAGGTTCACGAGAAGAAAGTTCATTGGAATTCTCATCGACTTGGTTCGAAGCACAACAACGCAAACCAGAGTATTGCCGACCAAATTAATTAGTACGAGAATAGAAAAGAGAAGTAGTTTAATTCCTTCTGCTGGAGACATCGTTCTTAGTCCATTGTAGTCTCTGCTCTGACCTAGAACAATATTTGGATCAATGACAGACAGTTGTAGCCAAACTCTGACTGAATGATGATGAGGTAGCTGCAAAGTATAAGTATGTTTTCGAGCTGATGCTTTTATCTTGGAAGACTTTTTAAGGGGGAGGGGGGGGGGCAGGCATAGAGGGTTCTACAGTTAACGAATTAGATGTGGTTTCTTTCTTTAAAACTGCGTTTCGTTTTATACGAATACTTACTGGCTACAATCCACTCTCACGATAACGTGAGGCCACCTCCTAATTATTATAATGACCAATGATTTAAGCTTACGTAAGTGTTCTGTGATTGGCTAGAAGAAAATCATTATTAATTAGCTGCTGCCCTGAACCGGCCCGGCTTTGAGTTTGGGGCCGGTAGTTTATTACTTGTAAGAAGGGGCTGTTACATTCAATTTCAATTCATGCTCATTAATGCTTTATTGCACTAATTTCAAAACTATCGCTTCTTCTGAGTTTCTACTTTCACTGTGGTATTACAGCACCTTAAAACTTTTAATAATATAGGGTACTTTTCTCGCTGTTATTGTAAGAACTTTATGTAGAAGCCAATTAGTTGTTAATTGTAATTTTTCTATTGCTCTTCTTGTTTGTTATTATGACCGGACAGCTAAAGCTTTACATTGAAATTTAAGAAAGAATATCGGTTTGAAAAAGTCAGTAATTAGGAGCTGGTCGTTAATTACCTGTGAGGGAGGGGAGGTGGGGGAGGCCGACCATTTTTGCTGGGTGATCATTCAATCTTGATTGGTTTTTGGGCGGTCCTGTTCATATTGGTGTTTTCACAGGTAACCAAAGCTCGAAATATGAGCATCGGCGAGCATCGGCATTGTTGTGTAACATTCAAAATATAAGGATTTATATGGGAAGAAAAACCTATCGTTTCTGTAACCTGCGAAAATGAAAGGATTTCAATAAAAAACAGCTTACCTTACTTAAAATGTGAGTTACGTCTCTCCTGTGTGGTCCACGGGCCGATTTATGGGTTTTTATGTAAACGGTTTTCTCTCTATATGAAGGTTTATTATTTGCGACCTTTGATTCGCTCTCGGTGCAAAGGAGTCTTGAAGCAAGATGACGAATGGAAGGAAGGACTATCGTGTGTTACCTAAGCGGAATTTGGAGGCGATTGGAGCAGTTGGAGCGAATTTCCGGCCGTTTTCCTTCGGTGGATCATGATCAGTCGAGCCGCTTCGCTGGGGTGCCCAACCTTGCCGGTAAACCTTTATATTATATAGACGCTGATATAGAGAGAAAACCGTTTACACAAACACCCATAGAACGGCGCGCCATAAATCGGCCCGTGGACCACACAGGAGAGACGTAACACACATTTTACGTAAGGTAAGCTGTTTGTTATTGAAATCCTTTCATTTTCGTAGGTTACAGAAACGATAGGTGTTTTTCCCATACAAATCCTTATATTTTGAATGTTATGCAACAATATAATGCCGATGCTCGCTGATGCTCATATTTCGAGCTTCGGCTACCTGTGGTGTTTTCACTGTCGATTCACGCCATCAAGAATAACAATGGAAACCTTTTTTTCAAACCGATATTCTTTCTTTAATTTCATGCCGATCAATGTAAAGTTTGAGCTGTCCAGTCATTACAACAAACAAGAGGAGCAATACAAAAAATTACAATTCATAACTAATTGGCTTCTAAATAAAGTTATTACAATAACAGCGAGAAAAGTACTACAGTACAAAGTTAAAGTTGAAATATCGTGTCAAGTATTTCTACATGCAGAGGCTGTTAATTAAGCTTCTTCAGCGAGAATGATTTGCTCAACTTTTCTCGCAGTATAAATAACTAAGGTCGTGACCGGAAGACTCGGCTCAGAGGAAAAATTAAAAAGTGTAGTTAGTGGTGGAGAGCAGAAATTGCAGCAATTGATATAATTTTACTTTCACGAGTCACCTGGGAAATAGGCCTCCCGGGCTGGCCTCCCACGTAGACGTTCTTTTGGCTCGCTGCCTGGCCGGGAAGCCGGCTTCTGAGAAACACAAGATTCAAGCTAAACTTTATATCAAATATAAGGATAGGCCCGTCAGGAAAGGTCTTAAGATGTACAAGCTTTTGTTAACATATTTTAAGATAAGAAGGGATGCTGCTGAAGAAGCCTATTGAAATAGACCATATCTTTATAGTCTTTTTTACAACGAACTCATGACTCATGACAGAAGGTTTGTGTTGCATTGTAGAATTCGACATTACATCAGCCCCGATGCAGTATAACCTGTACACAGACGTTGTTTTCCTTTTATTTTCGAAAAACATCGGCGAGCTCGCGATCAAAGCGAGAACACGAGAGCGAGCACGGAACGCCACCCCGCTTTCGCTGGCGGTCAATAAATCCCCCTGCGGTTTAAATTTTATCTCCCGGGTTCGACGGACTTTGAAGAGAAAATATAGAGGGTCTCTGAGCGGGCTAGGTACAGTACCCACTTAAGAACATCCCCTTTATTTAAAGCAGAAATCAGACCTAGGTAAGACTAAAGTGGATCAAAGCTAAATTTTTGCCATTGCTTGTATTTATGTTTAACACTATAGACCCAGAGAGACAAAAATGTAGAGATCCTCACGACCAGAAATTTGCGGCTGGTCAGCCAAACAGTTTCTAGGCACGACCGGCAGGGCTTCACTTGCGAGCAAACGCACCGAGTTTCGCGAGGGTATACAAGATACGCATTTCTAGTTAAAATTGCCTAAAAGGTTCTCTTGGAGCGTAAGCCAAGCGTTTATGCTGTAGCACATTATTTATGTAGCCAAAGGTAAACTTATCCAGAAAGGCTTATGTCAGCACACCTACCTGCGTCGCTCGCCACAAACGAACTGCAGCGGTTTGTCTGTCGCGAAGAAAGGAACAGAGCTACTGAAGTGTGTGATGCAGCAACTGGGTGATAAAATGCAGTTCAGTTCCGCGGTACTTTTGTTAGGAATTTTAAAACGTCTCTAGGATAATATGATAATTTTATTTCATTTTATTAGTCATTAACAAGAAGTCTTTCCCTTTCGGAGGAAATATGTCATGCAAATTCTTTAAGTAACATTTACAAATAGTACATAGTCAACTTGTCTAGCTAACGCAACACAAATTAAACAGAGCTAGAACATAATAATAACGAAAAGTAATATTCTCTAGTACCTGGGTTGTTTTTTTTTTTGGCAGGGGAGGGGGGCGGGGAGTATGCGTGTGCGCGTGTAGTTTGTTCTATTTGTAATTTCGTTCAACTGCATTCGTTAACTAATAAGCATGCAATGGTGTTTCATATCATCGGAAGACCGTACAATTCAGTAAACATCGACGGGAAACTTCTTGATTGTTCAAGCATTTTTGATTACGCTCTGCTTCTACGCTGGTTTAGTCTTTTACCGATTTAAGCAGAGAACAAGGTGCACAACTAAATGTCTGCAAGTTTAATTTAATTTACATGATGAGCATGTATCATGTTAGAATGAAAGTCTAAATAACTATTCGCAGAAATAACTGCTTATCAAGCCATGGAGTAAAGTTGTTAAATCTTCTTTTTATACGCATTGTCAGATACACAAGGTGTCTCTAAGATCATAGGGATGCCATCAAAATTGGGGTCTTTCATTAAGCGCTAAAATAATGCTCTGGTGTGTGTGCGTGTGTAATTTGTTCTGTTTGTAATTTCGTTCAACTGCATTCGTTAACTAATAAGCATGCAATGGTGTTTCATATCATCGGAAGACCGTACAATTCGGTAAACATCGACGGGAAATTTCTTGATTGTTCAAGCATTTTTGATTACGCTCAGCCTCTACGCCCGTTTAGTCTGCAAGTGTCTGCAAGTTTAATTTACATGATATGCATGTATCATGTTAGAATGAAAGTCTAAATAACTTTTTGCAGAAATAACTGCTTACTAAGCCATGGAGTAAAGTTGTTTAATCTCCTTTTTGTACGTGTCGTCAGTTACACAAGGTGTCTCTAAGATCATAGGAATGCCATCAAATCTCGGGTCTTTCATTAAGCGCTGAAATGCTGTGCTTCCAATCTTTCCCTTTCCAATGTTCTCGTGCCTGTCCAAATGACATCCTAGTGCACCCTTAGAGTCATTCAGATGCACAGCTCGAAGGTACTCCAGGCCTATGACAGACTCGAATTCTTCCATCATTTTTGCGAAGCCTTTTTCTGAGGCAAAGTCATAACCAGCAGCGAAGGCGTGGCAGGTGTCCAGGCACACACCCATCCGGGATTTGTCATGCACACGATCTATTATACCTCGTAATTCTTCAAACTTTCCACCTACCTGTTAAATACAATGAACAATAAATCATAGTAAACAAAAAACAGCTTTAATTAAGTGATATAAACTTTTGTTTTCAGACAGGCTCTCATTGGAGTAATGAACAGAGTGCAGGCTCTCTTGTTACGTAAAGTACTTTATCGCTTTACCAAAAAATGACCGGCAAATTTTTCCGTATCTTGGGAGTATTGTAAATTGTAGTTTCCTTATGAAGGTATTAAGAGTTCCTTTAAATGTGTCCGTGCGCTCCAGATCGAATTGGAATTTGGAAGTGTTGGTTTTGGAAGAGAGGGGAAAACCGGAGTACCAAGACAAAGTCTCTCGTAGCAAGGGAGAGAGCCCACAACAAACCCACCCACATATGGAGACTTCGCCGGCAAGAATTTAAACTGGGGCCATTAATTGATGGGAGGCGAGTGCTCTTACCACTATGCCACCTTCGCTTCCCTGATAAACTATATCTAGACCATATAAATAATCACAATCATGCAACTTGAAGACACTACATTATACACCCTATTATTAATGTTCAGGGCAATGGAAAGAGGGCAAAAACACATCTTGTCCAGGGACACAATCTCTGTATGGTGCACTTAAGTCAGGGGATCCCATTGGATAATAAAATATGTCAGGTGATGGAACTTGCAATGAAATCTGGAAAAAAGGCCTTTTATTATGGTTCAATATAAGACTGCCAGCTGACTTCCTTTCAGTCTGTCAACTGTGTAGCCAGCCAGAGGTTTGAGAGAACGAGTCATGATTCATTTTTCCTTCAACTTGCACAGTCTCTTCCTTTTTGTTCATGAATTAATAATTCCTTGATTTCTGAAGACCACCCCCCCCCCTTATCTCAGGGTCTGGATGACCCCTCCCCCCCTTAACCCTAGGTAACAACCCACACACGCAAATTTCTGTCAATATTAAAATAATGACATCTTTCCTACAGTGTTCTAGGTCCCCTAGGAGGTGCAGGATGGGATGATGCAGAAAGAAACTTTATTATAACGATAATGATTATTATTATTATCATTATTTGATGAGGAAAATTGACTGGCCGGTGTTCAGCTTTAACCCACTTTTGTAAATTTAACTATTCTTTCAATATGTTTCTACATTTCTGATTAGCTCAAATCTTCTGGCTAATTCTTTTTAGTAAAATCCAACTAGTGATCTATCATCAATGCTGCATTCTGATTGGCTGAGCTACTACTAGGCTATATGTTATAGCCCACTAGTAGCAAAAAGCGCTGGCTTTGAAAACCAAAACAATTAACGGCTGCTGAATCTCATTTTGCTAGCTAAAGTTGTTTTGTCTCGATATTTTTGACCAACTAGTTGGATTTTACCAAAACAATTATTCCTCTCACCCTCATGACCCCTGAGTCAATAGCCCATTCGACCTTTGGCCTCATGGGCTGTTAACTCAAGGCCCATTCGGTTAAATACCCAGATAACATTGGCCAAAACTGGAAGACATTAATTTTACCAATTTCAATTATTACAATAAATTGATGTCAATTGTACAGATATTGACTGAAAAAGGGAAAACAGAAGGTGGTATAGCCCAGCTGTTTGGCAGAGCTGGAATAACGGCAGAAGATTTCACATGCAATATGCTTAAAACATACCAAGGCCTAGCAAATTTACACTTCTGACTACAGCAATTTGAAGAATGTCTGCTAGAATAATGAACACCCCTTCATAACCTGAAGATACTGATGAAATGGCAAAGGTTGTGAAGATTGGAGTCTTGCAATTGAGGAAGCATGACTTAGTTTTAAAGTTGTAAATATTTTTAATTTATAAAACAGCAATTTTGGATTCAGCTAATTTATGTGAGAAAAATGTAGAATCCGCCGAGGATAACACGTCCCTTGCATACTTCTTCTTATCATGCTCAGCCTTATCCAATTATTGCTAATTATATAATACGTTGAAGATAATTTTTATTGATGATGAAATTATGAATAATAATTTATTATTATATGAAAATCATATATGTGAACTGCGGAGTGAAGAATTATTTAAAGGAAGATCATCGCAGTTATAATACGCAACCTCTGTGATTCCGGTATCACAGAGGTCAAGGGTTGGAACTGCAATGATCTTCCTGTAAATAATAATTTTTATTCTTGGTTCAATTTTGTTTTGTGTCCTTTATTTTGGAGCATCTTAATGTAGAATAATGAGTACAAAATAGAGACAAATTGGTTTTGAACCAAGGACAAAATTGCATGCACTGTATGGTTTTAAGAACCAATTAGTGGGCTGGGGAACTGGTAGGATTTGAAGCAAGGGTTGTTTTTAATAGTTTCTGCAATAAATAATGATCCTGCCCCTTTAGATAAATTAGAGTTTTTTAGATACACCCCCTTGCAGTCCTTACTGTTTGGCAAACAAACAACAAAAAACAAACAAACAAAACAAAACAAAAAAACATAATGAAGTAAAAATAAGATATAAAAAAAAATCTTATAAAAATAAGATCAAGATACACTTAATAATTTCCATTTGACTCAATTTCAAGAACAATAATTGTTGTTTAGATTATCAGTCCTGTAGGCCAGGGTAAATGTCTTCATTATCAAACACTTAAAGGCAGTTTTCCAGTAGGAGTTCCATGGGTCAGGCAATTAATGGTTGCTGCTAACAAACTCAACTACCATCTTGCCAGCAAAGGTTAAAAATATATTGTCTGCAGACCAGTACAGACATATTATTAAAACAGTGTCAGGGCTCGAAATTAACGCTCGCAAACTCGCAAAATGCGAGTGATTTTGATAATCTGCGAGTAAGAAAAATATCCACTAGCAAACGATTGCGAGTTAGAATTATCCATGTCTCCCAAACAAAGGGAAATAAATTGCTTGTGGTCTCACCAGTTTGCTAGTCGAAAAAAATCTTACTAGCAAAACTTTGCAAGTGCACTAACAAGATAACTTCGAGCCCTGAGTGTGTCATTGTTTTACCGCTTGACCTTTTAGCTGCATTTGACACAGTTGACTATCATATACTGCTTACAAGACTCAGCCATTGATTAGGGGTCAATGTAAAGGCACTAGAGTGGTTTGCATCTGAAATCTGCAACAGATGCCAGTTTGTATGTGTTGAGTTCTCTGCCTGTCGGACCTTACTCCTTATAGCATCCCTCAAGGAACTGTGTTTGGCTCTGCCTGTATTTATAATTTATACATTTCAAGCATTTTTTGGACTCTCTATTAGTACTGTTATGCACGTTGTTCATTCCCCTAAAAGGGGAATAAGGGCATGCTCCCCAGGGAAAATTCAAATTTTCTGGGAATTTGAAATGCATTGGCACTCTGGTAGAATGTTTCACGTACAATGTAGACATTTTTTGGGCCATCCCTCACTCTTTACCCAGCACTTGTTTTGGCTGCATTCCTTCCTCCACACTATTTTATTAATATTTTATAAAGTGTTTTCACTGTCATGCAATGAAAAAATAGGCTTGACACCATTGAACGGTTCATTCTGTATAAACACTGTAAATCCCCCCCACAAATCAATGTTGTTAATGGGCCATTTGCATGCTGACATCTTTTTAGTAATAAGACCAGGATTCACTTTGTTTTGCCTTTCATAATTGAATTCGGTAATCCCAGTGAGGTTAGTAAAATGACGCCATCGTGCAATGGCCTATTGTAGTAAAAGAAAGGCTTGGGAGTCTAAAATGCATTCATTGATTTTTTAGGGGTAGGGGTGGGGTTATACAGGGGGAGGGGATAAGTATGTCCACTATGCAAAAAAAAGACCATTTTACAAAAGGGTCTCAACATTTTTGTCCCTTAATGTACATGTAGTTTGCATGCACATGAACACTTTTTTTAAAATGTTTGAAATGTTTAAACTACTGAAAATCATAGGGGGAGAGCTTTCCTTTAACCTGAGATCTTTGCTAAGGCTACCAACACCACCATGGTGTCACGCACTGTAAAATCCAATTCTCCATCCACCACATACATCATGAAAAATGAACAGTCCCTCATTCCCAAATTTAAAAAAAATAATAATAACAATATAAAAAATCCAAATAAAAACAAAATCCACTCACTGTATTTCCCTGACAGCTCATATTTTCCAAGACAGTGACAACAAATTTTGTTTCCTTGTGTGCCTGGTTTATGCTCTCTGCTATCTTGTCAAGACATTCATCCACTGTGATCTTGCCGCAAGTAGAACCAGGATGGAAATTGTACAGGAGGAGGCCCAATCTTTCACAGCGCTTCAGTTCATCCACCAGAGTCGAACGACTTTTGGCCAGCGTCTCCTCTTCTGGTGATCCACAGTTCATAAGATAGATACCGTGTGGAAGGATTGCATGTGGTGAAAACTGAGCTTCAGCACAAGCATTTCGGAAACGTTCGGCAGCTCTGTCTTCCAAGGGTTTGCTTACCCACTGACGCTGCGACCTCAAAAACAAACCAAAAGCTTTCGCCCCAATCTCCAGCGCCTCAGACACTGCATTGTGGAGTCCACCACTAATTGATACATGCGCTCCGACAAACTTCCCCTGCAAAGAAGGCCGCTCGACGTGATTTTCAGTTTTGACTCGCTTAATTTTCGGTTTTATGTTCTCGTCAATTATTACTGAAGGTTTAAGCTCACTATCCTTTCCTTCACCTCCACTCGGATCCGTAGTGCTCTTCTCTCGAGGTCGTTTAGTCGATTTCCATTTCTTGATCTTTGTTTTTGTTGGTAGTTTATCCTCTTTTTTGCCGAAGTTTGACCTTGATGTTTGCGCTGAGATTTGTTCAGCCGCAATAGCCTGAGATTTAACTTCATTAATCGCCCTAGCTGCTAAACGGACGCTCCGTCTCATCTCGAATATATTGAATCCAAAAGAACTGCACTTATCGCTTCGCAACCGCCATCTTTTTGGCAGCAAAGGACTGGACCGAGTAAATTCGTCCAATTCCCGCTCTTAGAATCCCTTTTACAGATTGACCAATGAAATCACAGATGAGATTAACCAATCAGACAAAAGTCTCCTTTGTTGCCCAAGCGTCCAAAAGGGAAAAAAAAAAAACACTGGAAAGCGTCCTTTGCAACAACGAGGGGAATATCTGTACGGGTAATTATTCAATTTGTTTTATTTGCTGTTTAGTAGCCTGCATAGCCGGCGCGATTGTTCATTAGGTTGAGCAAAGTTTTGGCAGAGGAACGGCTCAAGTACTTTAAGGCCTGGGAGTTCACCTAAAGGAAATGATTTCAGTTGGCTTCGGTAGATTATGGAAATGAATCAAAATTTTCTACGCATAGAAAACTCATCATCCTCAACATTTTAAAGTATAAATATTGTGTTCATAAGTCACGTGAGGAGCCCTAGTCACGTGATATGTCACGTGACCATCTTGCTAAAAAGAGGTCATGTGACATCATTTTTATGAAAATGAAACTTACATGATTTTGTTAGCCTGTGAACAGGCCTTTGGTCGAGCGGGGAACAAGGGAGAGGGAAAAGCGAAAAGGCCTGTAGACAAACATTTGGTACCACCGCTCCACGGCACCCGCTGTGCATCAGATCCTGATGCAAGTTCTTCTTGGCGAGAACACTGACGGTTGACAGGTCTGATTGACATCGGCTTTTCGGTCGGCACGTAGCACGTGTTTTGATCACAAAGTGGAAGACAAAACACTCCAAAGACTTAAGCTTGTTCAAAAGCTATTATTACCAAGGGAGGATCTACGCGCTCCAGTCAAAAGACTCACACTATCTTTAGAAAAACACTAGGCTGGAGTTTACCGAGTTACAGTGCAATTCTCCATAGTTGATGTAGCTTCGGTTTAAGCTGCATTTGAATCTTACCACTTTGGATCTGTAAATTACTATCCGTGATAATTTTTAAACATTCTGCAAAGAGACTAACGAGCTGCGCCCAGCGTGATACTACATTTCAGAAAAACAATACATTCACGAACTTAAGAAAATCGCTTAGTTATTCAGATCCAGAAGGCGCTTTGGAGAAAAGTAAGACCCTTATTCAGCCGCAATAAAAACCGTTACGCTTCAAAAGAGGTCAAAGAAAATGCTCTAGTATCAGAGGGAAAATCCTGCCGACCATAGACAAAAACCACAGTAAATCGATATGTATGCCATGACCTCTCAGTGTGAAACAAGCGGCTAAAATCACATTTGCTCAGTGAAAATGTAAAACCTTCCAGAGCATAATCTACCCAGCAGAGGAAAAAACTTATGGGAACAAGCCGAATTTTGGCGTGAGGTCAGAATGGCGTGTAGGCCTACCGCCCCATTTTATTGCTATAAATACGGAATAAATACCCAAAGGTGTAATTCCTGTCGGCGACCGAAGCGCTGCTGATCTCTTTGTACTTGTCGTAGGAGGTTCACGTTCTGGAGAAGTCATGATAATATCTGTACCTTTCGCATTCCAAGTTCGCTCATTGCAGGGGCTTGTTAAATTAAAAACTGAACTAGCAAGACGAACGGCCCGTCGCGCACAAGTTAAGCAGCTTAAATCGGAAAAGCTTTCTCCTAGCTCAAGAGGAAAACTTAAGGATTCAAATGCTTGCGCTAGTACAACGCTGTCTTGGCCACTGTCAGCCAGCAGGGTCTTATTTCTTGAAACGCCAAAGACCGGCACCGTATCAATTCTCTTACCGGAGATCGAAGATTTTTTGCAAAATCGACAATTAGGCTCGCGGTCCATTTTACTTTGTTTTGAGAAGGAGCAAAACACGGCTCATTTCCCGTTAATTTTCCCAGGAGTTACTCACGCGCGAAATTGATTGACAGATAACGATCTTACTGACAGATGTTCGGCAAGATAATTACAAGAGGGCGGAATATCGGCCTCAAATGTTTGTCTACAGGCTCTCTCCCCCCGCCCGCCCTTTCCCTTCCCTTTCCTTGCTATTTTATTCCCTTAACAGAGAGCCTGTTCACAGGCTATGATTATAATAGGGATTTGGTTTTTCAAACCTGCACCATTTTCTTAAAATGAGTAAGTTCGTAGCTGGTCACGTGACCAAAATGTGATTTTTAAAATTATGAATTACCCCAGTCTAGTCCCTAGTCCGTTGTCCGCGCGAAGTATCTCTCGGTGACGTCACAGTTTATGGTAGAGTCCAGGAATGACCAAAACAAGCCGAAAACACCTGGACTAGGCTGGAATTACCCCTTTCTGAACACAAATTTCGCACTTAAACTTCAAGGAAAAAGTTGAAAATATGAAGTGGTAACTTTTACAGCACATCTGAGCTTAACTATCAAAAGCTTAACAAGATATAAGCAAAAAGTAGTTTTGGCCGCCATGTTGGAGGGCAAAAGTATGCCCTCCAACATGGCGGCCAATACAAATCATACTCCTTTGTTGAGAAATCAAAGTACCATAAAATATCTCCCTTAAATGCGTCTCCTCTGAAATTTCGGATGTAAAATAATTTTTATGTGCTCTACCAATTTAACAGGACTTTAGAGAGCAAAATCCAGGCCTGGGTAGTGCTTCTGTTTTGAAGTGCCGCAAGAGAAATTGGCTTCAGCTAATCAGAAATAATACCCAGATCAGGGTAGTGACAAGCCATCAGTATCAAATTTCTGCCGTCGTCCCTCAGACGTCAGTTCGCCGGAAATCAGTGTAGTTGTGGCCTCGCGAAATTAAATGTCGGCTAAATTTTCTTAGGCTTTAAAAATAACCGCCATACAGGCAAACTGTTCATTGGCTCCTATAAGATCGTTGACAAGGACGTGCTCAACAAGGAGCGTCAAGTCTCCTCCAAGCACTGAGTAGACTTACAATGGTTTACAGTCGGAAACAGTACAACTGGGCACATGGAATGGTTCGAGCAACCGAGTTTTTGTTGAATATAAATGCTACGCCACAACGAGTGAAGTGGAGAAAACCGTAAAGTAAGCCTTATTTTAAGCCAGTAATAATTTTGGACCAGAAAATGACTCACTGTATGATATTCCTAGATACTAAAGGCAGTCTCAATGTTTTAGAAATTGTTGGCAAATAGATAGATTGTTAACTGCGATGAAATACCGTAAAATTCCGAAAATAAACCCCTCCATGTATAAGCCCCTCCAAATATAAGCCACCCAAACTGGTAACACAAAAAACCCTCCGTTAGGGACTGGTCAAAAAGTATAGGTGGGGGTGGGCCGGAGCAGAGAGGGGGTGGGTCCTGAGGTTTTGAGCCTTGCGCAAGGGGTGGGTCGCGCAATTTTCAGCTACCCTTAGGGGGTGGGTCACCCCATTTTATTACATAGATAGGCACTAACTACTAACGAGACAGTTGAACACACTTGTTATATAAAACACAGCCAGCTGGAATTAACAGGCTGCACATCTGTACGGGCATGAAACCCTTAGTTAACCTTTTTTTTTTGGCTCTGACAAGCATGTCCTTTAATGATTTTCCTTTTTTGTAAGGTTTTCTATCAAAGTTTGTGGGTAACCTCTGTCCATCAAGCGGTTTTTTTTAATGTTGAATTATTTTCCTCAAAGGTTGTTTTTGAGGAGTTTTTTCGTAGGATTCTCAAGGCTTCTCCTTTTTAACACTTGGAGGGTGACACGAGGTGAAATGAGTGTGCAAGAAGGTTTCCATTTGTTTAAAATGTGTCTTTGCATCAAGGATAGATTTTTCCTTGAATCTTGTGCCTTTGTATACAGCCGTGGCTAAAAACGCAGTCTCAGTGTCAAATGTTTCGGCCGTGAATTTAATAGTTGGGTGATGTAAGTTTGCTTGTTCAATGAAGGCTTAGATGTCTGGTTTACTCATGTCCCGTAGGGAAAAGGTATTGTGTATGTAGGATTTCCACAAACTGTTGTTCTAAAGATGGTTTTGCTTAGAGTTGTTGTTTCAATATACGCCTTGAAAATGTTGGCAAAGGAATCAAAACTGCTGTCTTTGTGCCCACTGCAGTTTCTTTGAGGACTATTCTAAGCATTTCCGGCAAGTAATGTTAACGAATGGGTTGTCTTTGTAGAAATTTTCATATGCTTTGTGACAGACAATTTCAATATACCCTCGTTTTGCGGTATATTTGTGTCAAGACTCATAACGTCCATCGAAACAAGAAATGTTCGGATTTTCACATTTGTCTTTTCAGTGAAAGGTATCATGTCTGTGATTTTGATATTGGTTGTAGCAGTGTATCAACAAATTTTGTAAAACACAAAACAAGGTTTTATTGGATTAAGAGGAAACCAAACATTCATGTTTTAAAAAGGGGGTGGGTCATGGAATTTCCAGCCTTGCTTTAGGGGCGGGTCAGTCATTTTTGTGCCGAGGGGAGGGGGGTGGGCCATGTGTTTTTTATCAACCACATTTCCAAAAGCTCCGGCCCCCCCCTATACTTTTTGACCAGTCCCTTAAATCGCCCCTCCAAATATAAGCCCCCCGGGGGCTTGCACTTGGAAAATTTCCCTCAAATACAAAGTAAAGCAAAGCAAAAACAGTAAATTTACTTCCAACTACAAGGCTAGCCCAATCGATTTTGAAACGCAAGTTTCCCTCCGTAGATAAGTCCCTCCGGATATAAGCCCCTCCAAAAATAAGCCCCTCAAAAGGGGCCTTTGAAAAATAAAAGCCCCGGGGCTTATTTTCGGAATTTTACGGTATATTTGGGGTTTGTTTGTTAATTGCCCTTGGAAACAGAAGAGCCCACCCCGCAGAGATTTTTACAGACTTTAGTAACTAGAATATCTGTGTACACTGCCTGCTTAGTTTTAGCGCTGGAACTGATGTACTTTTGGAGAAATTCAAGGAAAGAATAACCATATTTTAGCCATCAACTCAAACGGCCGAAACTCTATGTCCGTTAATGCCACGCAAATTTGATAAAACAGGAACACGCTTACAGCGGCAACGAGGTCTCGCCTGCTTGGAGATTAGATCGAGAAATGAGTAGGCGATTAATTCTACAAGAAACATGATTCTCTCGCTAAGGTTTTGTACTTCCTACTTTGTCGACGTCGATACTTCTTATTTGTTTCTGAATTGATTTAGTACGCGTGTTAGCGACGACCAAAAATACCTCTCCGGTAGCAGGCTATACGTGTGCATAAATACACAAAAATTCAAGGGGCTCGATTCCAGAGAAATTACATGATTGCCAGATATCTTTGGCCAGATATCGAAAAAGTGATTTAAATGGTACGTCATTTCAATCATCGCCGAAAATAAATCGCATGCTCATTACACGACTCATTTGCATAAAGTGAAAGTTTACAACACCCGACCATCGCAACTCCGGAGTGCACAAACCATAACCCATTTCAGACCAAAATGGTCGAAATTGATACCCTATTTCAGACCAAAACGGCTAAAAAAAAACATACCCTTTGGCGCGGCACATGCCTATATAGCATATATAGGGGACTAACCCCCCTCCCCTCCCGGGCGAAAAACGCGTTGCAGATTATGAGTCTCCTTGCTTACGCAGAGCGAGACTAATAAAGAGCAATACACATAAATGTAAACTAGAATGATTGTATTATATCTGCTTCAAGTCTTGAGGTGTAGCGTTTTAATAGACTTGAGAAACAGAGCTACACATTTTGCACTTTTTACAACAGTTTGAGTTGAATATTAGGTTTTTTTGCCACCATCAAACAATTGGTGTTACCATGACAACAGTAAAGAAGCAACCCGAACAAAGTGCATTTTTAAACATGCAAAATTTGCGGGGGGTGGGGTCAAACTTTTTCATTTCCAACTTTGCTTAACTGTTACACAAAATTGCTCTTAACTTTTTTTGTGTTTTTAATTCTGTAGTGAATTTACTCAGAGGTAACCAATGTAAATTCGTTTTAACATGGTATCTTTTAGGATCTTACTGTATATTTTTGGAGTTTTTATTATAGTCGTATTTTGCACGTAATGTTATCCCTGTTTTTAATATAGTTCTATACTCATTTGTAATTGTTTTCACACGACCCCACAAGCTTTGAGCTTTATATGAAATACCTGGAAATACATATGGCAATATTATCATGGTAATATCAATATGATGTAATTTAACCCTTAACTGCCTTAAAAATAGCTTCTTTGACTAAATCAGCATATTTCTGGGCCGTAGGTTCACTTGTTATGTTGCTGTAATATACAACTGTCCAGAACAGTTGATCATTAAATGTGGCAATATTATTAGCAAATATGCTTCCTCGTTCGTGTTCAGCAGTGCAGCCGAAGCTGGCTCGTAGAATGACATCATCATTTGGAGATCCATCCAGAAATTTACAGTAACCTAGATTAGTGTAGACCATCAGGTGCCTGAAACGGTTACCATGCTCATTGTCCCTTTTAGCTGACTTAGAAAAATACTGCCTGAGCACTGGAGCCATGCAGTAAAACATTAGGGCCATTTCTATGTGTTCATTCTTCTTCAGCCTGCCATGGATATCTTCAGAGACACTCTTTGCCCTTTCCCAGAATTTTTCATGCTCAAGGGAAGTGTCAACAGTGTTTTTACATTGAATGCTGGTTACATATGGCCCTGCATACTCATTTGGCACTGTGGACTTGAAGAATCGCCTAGCATTCACTGTTATTCCACATTCTATTTCACACTCATTCTCCTCTAGCAGAGATGTCATTGCAACACAACCTGCTGTCTGAACTGCGCCTTGCACTGTTGTTTGATGCTTTTTGCACTTCTTTAACAGGCCTGATGTTTCCTCTTTTGAGAACTCTAAAGGAATAATCTTGGTCCTTGGTTGAATTTGAGGATTTCTTTGCACCTCAACTCCATGTTTTCTAGTGAAGACATTTCCTTTTCCACTAATCCCTACCACTGCAACCATCATAAAGGCAGGAAAGCCGGGTATTAAGCTCAACATGTCCATAGCTGCTGCCAGTAGGTGATGGTACCATCTGCTCTTAACAGCTTCATGTATGTACACAGAAAATGGTGGTAGCAATGCCATTGAAGATACTTTGGGTTCTTCGTTGTTACTTAACTTGTTCACATAGCTAATGAATTCTGCAAACATTCTTGTAAACGATGGCCCATCTATTATAATATGATGGAAACCAAATATACAAATGCACTCATTAGGGTATGATGTCATATCCTTGACATCACCTCTAGTGGCTGGTTTGTACCTAGCATTTGGCAAGAATGTCACCCTCCAAAGGGGACCATTCTCTGAATCAAATTTCTCTAACAAACTTTCCTCCATAACATTTTGCCAGTCCTTAATATCCAGCTGCCTCATGTCAACATCAACTTTGTCCATTTTCTGAAAACAGTAAACTCCATCTTGATTCTTTCTAAGATGCATGCGCAGCATGGGGTGTCTCTTTGTGAGGAGTCTCATTGCATTTTTCACGTCAGTTGCTTTTATTGGTTTTTTGGATCTCAACACCAGAACATTGGCAATAATATCTTCATTTCTGTCATGAGCTATTCTCCAAATCTCCTCTGTTGAATCAATAGGACGTCCATTATCATGTGAATAGTGTTTCGGGAAGCTATCTTTCCTACCACAAAACTTAATCCAGAGTGTGGTAAACAATATTCCAGCAACTGCAACTGCTATTGCCCCGCAGGCAATCATCATGTCTGGGGAAAAAAGGAGTTCAGTAATTAATGACATAGAAAAAAAATAACATGGTTCAAAAGAGGCAATAAATATTAGTTGTTTTTTTCTTTCTCTTTTTGGTTCTTTTTCTTTGTTGTACCATTTGTATACTAGATATTACCCTTTAGTGACTGTTATTTTTCATGTATTGTATTTTGTTATTAAAAAAGACTGTAGTGTATCCCTGAGTTTTCCCTAAGGTTTGTTTTTGCACTGAAAAAAATGATGCATGCATATGCATGGTCATTTGGCACTGTGCACCTATAAAGAATCGTCTGGGATTACTGACGAGAAAAACTTCTGCTATTTGTGAAATGTATGGGAAAAATGTGCAATGGATTTCAAATTTTCAAGCAACACATAATATTGTTATCGAGTTTTTATATCTTAGTGTGGCAATGGAGAAAACTTGTTGAACTGACAAACTTAATGCTGCTATGCTGACTTGACGATTCACTCAATACAACAACGGCAACAACTTATTTTATTTCAGTATCCCCACGTGAGTACATGGTATTACCTACATTATATATGTTACAAATCTTAAATCAAAATAAAGGCTATAATTAAAGAACAAGTTTTTGTCTATATTCCATACATGAATGTACATGTATGTAAGCAGCTGTAAGTCTGTATAGATATAGGATCGATATTGTTAAATATGAAGAGGGTTAAAAAGGGGATATCTATTACTAATTTTTCTGTAAAAGTTAGATCGAAGAGTAGACCGTCGTAAAGATTACAATTGAATAGAAAGTGTAATTCGTGTTCAACTTCATTTAAATGGCAGATTGGGCAAATTCAAAGATTTTCTGGAGTTTTTGGCAATGTATGTCTGCCCTTTTCAATTTCAATAACAAATGTCATCAAATTCACGCCAGACGATTAAGCTTGGTTATTAAAGCCCCCCCCCACCCCCGAAAAAAAATTTATTAAAATAAATAAATAAAGATACATAAAAAAGAAAGAGAGAGAACAGAAACTACTTGCTTTTTACACTCTTCAGTGGCATTTAGCATCTTCCAAATATTTGACACAGTTTCAAATTATTATTTTTTGTTGAACTGCCTTTTAGAGGCAAACCCAAGCTGTTAAACTGTGTAGATTTTTCAAACCCTTACTTCAGTTTTATTTAAGGGGGCCCAGATGGGGAACTGTTATGTGCTATGATATTCTTACTTTTAAGTGCGTTATAAAGCCCAAAATGTTAATGTCAGTGGCATGAAATATTAGCCAAATTAAATTAACTATAACTACAGAAGTGATACTGAATGGGGGATGATATTTTTATTAACATAATGCCAAAATGGGCATTTTCTCAATCTTATTTCAGCTCTTACTTTTGAGAATGTGGGAGCCCAGGACAAGAATACAATGGGGAATATGGCTTCTGTCACAACCGTGATTGGTGTCATACAGTATTATTATATTTTTCAGATACAGTGAAACCTGTATTAAGCGGACACCCTCGGGGAATGCTGTAGTGTCCGCTTAATACAGGGTGTCCGCCTAATACAGGTTTCGATAGATAACGTCATATGAGATGTCAAATGCCATTCAAATGAACAGTGGAAATGTTAAGAATACTCCCAGAGACTTTGACGATATACGTTTGCAGTAATTACTTTATCAAAGTGGACCAATTGATCATAGTACCATAAACATAGATTGTAACTCAAATTTGAAGAAATCAGATAAGTGAAACAAGCTCTATACAAACAAAACGAAATAGAAAACAACACTGTACTGTGAAACTAATCAAATAAGTTCGTCAAGTCACGTTTTTAATGTAAAAATGGAAAAAGTTGTGGGTGGCAATTCGAGGTAATCTTTTGCATTTCCGGTGTCTGGCATGTTGGGTAGTGAAATTTGATTACGTGTCCGTTTCATACAGGTTGGCAACAATAGAAATGACTATTTCAGGTACTTTTTAGGTGTCTGCGTCCACTTAATAGAGGTGTCTGCTTAATAAAGGTTTCATTTAAAGTAAACAAGGGAAATAAATTTTGGGACTTCGGCTACTGTCCGCTTAATAGAGGGTGTCTGCTTAATATGGTGTCCGCTTAATACAGGTTTCACTGTATTTAAATGTTAAGTGCATTTTTTTTAAATGCTACAACTTACAGGTAGTTTTATTAGCATTTCCTTATTGGAAAATTTCAAGTTAATCACAGAGCCCTGCAGTAACACACCCTTGAAAGGTTTTTTTCTCTCAGACGTCAATCAACAGTTTCCATGGTATTTTGATGCACTATACCAGAGAAGGTTGTCTGCCTCTCTCATCATTCCACTTTGACAGCGACAACTGGCAATAATATTATTTTGAATGACAACATTTCTGGGGTGTTTTCAAATTCGTTGACATGAAGGATAACACTGTTAAAACAACCTTAACAGTCTGTGCAGGCTGAGTGAAGTAACTGAAAAACTTTCTGTAGAAAACGTTTTTAAGTTGTATATTCCATCATAAGAGAACAAGGGAGCTGTGGGCAAATTGCCAAGGAGTAATTCAAAGAAATGAAATAAATAAGGTGTAACCAAGAAGAGAAAAAGTTTCCTCTGATTAATTATGGAGGCTTTCTTCGAAAAGTGAACATTGAGTTAAAATGAAGTTTGTAAGCTGTAGAACTAGCTTAGTGTAGAATCCAGATAAGAATATTCTTGCATGTCTTTGCAGAATTTATGAGAGGAGAAAGTGTAAATACCATGAAACCATTGACTGAACCCTTCAAGGGGGCGTGTGATTGGTAACTGTTGTAATGTTGGTTCTACATGTACACGAATATTATAGACTCTTTCATTAAGGGAGAACATGAAAGACAATTTTCCAGTCTTTGCTAGTTGATTTACAAGTAAAAGGCATTGTTTTGCAATACTGGCATCAGGAAGACCAAAACCAAAACCAAAACCAAAACTTTATAATATTTTCATTAATGTTAGATTCTACTGAAAGTTTGCCAGCTTCATTATGAGATACAACGTTTGTAGTTCTTCTATTCAGGCAAGCAAAATGTTTGTAAAATTGGGTGTGAATTTTTTGATGGCATGATTTTCTTATTTCTTAGGTTCAGTATTGCAGTGGGCACCCCATAACTCACAGCTGTATGGTAATAAAGAAGGAAATAGGACATCAAAATGTTTTTGGATACAGAAACTCATGGAAGCTTATTAAATTCAAGATAACAGTTTGAAACCCTGACCCTTTTCTAAATTTCAGGACAAAAAACAAAATCTCAACATACAAACCTTGTTTAGGACAACACCCTCAATTTTATTACCCTGTTTTAGGACAAAGGACAAAATGAACGCCGTCTTGTTTTAAAGTCATTAATTGGCAATTGCAATTAAGAACATTCACGTTATAGTCATTGCTTTTGTATACTTGGAGCACAAATACATTTAAAGTGCCCATCACCTAAATTTTTCTTATTTTCATATCTGAAACTATACATTATTAAAATAACTTCTGCGAAAAAATTTTGCGATTTGAACAAAAGCCGATTTTTTTACAATTTTTGCGTTACACTCGCACTGCTGATCATGCAAACTAGCAAGCTCACATATGACGTCATGTGACGTAAATTAAGGAACTCGCATTACCTTGCCTTCACCAGCTGTACACAAAAACTTAGATAAATTTCAAGTAAGGATTGAATCACAATGTCTTCGTAAGAAGAAAGTTTTTCTGAAAAAGAAAAACCTATCAGAACTCTTAATGTTTTCCTGTCGATAAGGTCACGTGTTCCTTAAAGTACGTCATACTCCGAGAGAAGACTAAGACGAATGGTGTGTAAAATGGCGGCAAATTTGAACATTTTCAAAAAATTGTAAAAAAATCGGGTTTTGTTTAAATCGCAAAATTTTGTCACAGAAGTTATTTTAATAAGGTATAGTTTCTGTTTACCATTAGGACAGACTTGTGCAAAATGACATATCCTGTTGAGAACAGAGAGAACAAAAACCATACCCTATCCAGCGGCACATCCGGTATAGGCCATATTAGACTGTGCCCCCCCCCCCCCCAGGCATGTACTCACTGTCCATTTCTGATTTTTCAACTCTCTCGTGTATGATAAAACAAAAGTAGCTTTCTTTGTCCTCTTACAGTGATTAACAGTACACGGAATCGAAATTAACAAGTTGCAGAACGTTCATTATGAAACCATCCACAATTTTTGGTTCGATTGTAATAACATCACCTAGCAGGGAGGGGTAATGGAACTGGGAGGGGGGGATCTTGCTGCTTGGAAATGCTTCAGTTTTATGTAACACTAAGACTTAAATTCTCATGAATTCTAGCAAAATGCTTTACCAGATCTTTTCCCTAAAAGGTAACAACGTACTTACCAGTGTCTCGACTCTGTCTCTGACTTTCCCGGGAAACGATGATTCACTGGACGATTCGACACAGTACGACGATGCAGCGGCACGTTGACTTAGGATCAAACTCTTCGCTTTTTCTATGGCCCTTTCAACACTTTTTTTTCTGTTAGTATGCTGTTGTATCGGGTTGGAGTTGCGGGAAACCCAACCTACACCAAAAACACTCCTTGCGACTCCGTGCACTCAGGTGCACTTCGGCATGCAACACATAGGCTTGGGAACCAGGCCAAGAATCATTGAAATTAATCGCCGCAAGGCGATTTTAACTGGGCTTGCGAAGACGATTCTATCTCCTTCGTTCCGGACTGATGACAAGATAGAATCTCGATCAAACTTCAACTTACAGGTAAGTTTCGTTTAATCATGTAATTTCTCCCGAGAGAGGAGGTCTGTACACAGTCCACCAGACACAGTCAGTCCGGGCAACCACCTTGTCGCCGACCATTGCGTGACACAGCATCCAATGTGAGAGTTAGTAACTCAAAGGAAATGTGTCACGAAATTCAGCCAAATTAGGAAATTACAAAATGCCCGTCAAATTAAGAGAAACGTAAAAAAACCCACTTAAAGCTCTAAAGGAAGGTTAAAATAACATAGCAGAAACAACAGATGCCACGGATGGGCAAAACTGAAGATGATTGAAACAGATTGAAATGAAGGTTTTTGAAAACTGTTCAGCCTAACAGTTTTTCAAAGTTAATCCCAGCTGCTTGCAACTTTTAAAATAATGCTCAGGAGACATATTTGTTTGTCTCGGATCTCTGATTTTGCCATTTACATGTAATTTCTTTGCTTTCTTTAAGTTCCACAGCAACTGAGGGAGAGTAATTGGCAAAACAAAATAAACTGAACTGCCGTGACGCCCTTTAAACTCCTTTTGAACATTGTACCCTTTTCAAAGACTTTTGTAACAAGAAAAATAGTACCATTTTTAATTCGGGGCTGTATAGTAACTTTTCAAATTCCAACATTATGAATAAAAGTAAGCAAGTTAGCCATTCTTAGCAGGAACCAATAAGCGTTATTTTCACGCACCCCTTCCCCAATCCATCTGCACCAAAATATAGTTTGACAGTATGACGTAACTAATTTGACCCAATCGGAAATTATTGTCATTCTACGGGTCATAAAACGCTGTCAACAAGCAGCAGAAGCAGTACATTTCTCAATATTCTGGTTCTTAAAACTAACAAAGCAAATTAAATTTTAAACGGTACTTGCTTGCATTTGCCTTATAGATATTGATCTGAAATAGTCTACAGTCAGGATTAAGAGAATGAGACGACAAAATCCCCACCACGAATTGGTAGGGATCCCCCCGGAGAAAAAAATCGACGGTATTTTTTAATAAACTTGGCCAGCCTACGGCAAGCCCAGTTAGATAGCGAGACAACATTTTGAATCGTTCAAAAAGTAGCATTTTTGCTCTAGAAATGTTTCGTGCAAAACAACCCGCGTGGGGAGTACCCCCCGCAGTATTGTGCTTCAAATGCAGCGCATTTTCAAGGGAAACGTTTACCTACAAGTTTTTTTTTTATATTTTCTACCCGACAAAAATTTTAAAATAGCAAACCAAAGCGTCTCCTTATTATCACCATTCGTTAGATTAAATGTAAAATGATCCGGATTCCAAAATCCAAGAAAGTTTTGCTTGAAGAATCCGAAATCCGGAGCTTTGCGTGAACCTGGAACGGAATCCAGCTCAAGAAGAATGGAATCTCGCTAACGATTGGATTCTGGAATCCAAGTTCCACTGACGAAAAATTTAATATCCAGTACCTGGAATCCGGAATCCACTACGTGGAATCCAGAATCTTGGAATCTAGTACCGGAATCCCGGATCCACAGCGTGGAATCCAGAATTGGTGTGGATGGATTGGGTGCTTATCACCGTTTTTGTTGTTGTTGTTGTTTCCACCTTGAGATATTTGACCACGATCCTCGTTTCGGTTTGGAGACTGAATTCTTGCGCATTTAACTGGAATGATTTGCCCGTTGGCAGGGAAGCCGTTGGCGGTAAGTTTTCAGAAAAAGTCAAATCCCCACCGCGAGTCATTCACTTCCTCCCCTTATACAGTGATAGGTGCATCAGAGGTCACAATTTGATCAATGAAAAGACCGCGGAATGCCTGAGGTTTATTCATTTATTATTTATTTATTTGTTTAGTTATTTATTTATTCATTCATTTATCTTAACACAAACCACGCCTTATCTTTTAAATGTGGCTTTCAATTCCATGCATGTTGACACTCCTTACACATTTGTTGTCACCATTTTCAGTTGCTTATTTCTGGTCAAATATGAGGCTCTTCTTTAGAACATACAGGTGAAAAATGTTTTTTCCTTTTAAAATATATATTCAGAAGTTTAAAGCTAAGTCCCTGAATCAGTTAATCTCAAAACTAAACAATCCAATACTAAAAAGTCTTAATGACCTCAATGAGTTAAACCAATTTATTTTATTCTAAATAACCATATGCAAGACTATGGCTACGATTAAGCTGGACGACCAAAACAACAACAAAAACTGAACTCTTACAACAATAATGACCAGAACAAGTGATCTTTATGACGATGATCTTTGATACTCAAGATAAACATAACTAGAAAGGCTTTCCTGGGAATCCTAACTACCAAAGTTACTGGGCTTTTCACAAGCGCGAACTCTAAGCATAAATGGATTACCTTACATAGGGCGTCCAGTACGCATAAGCATAAAGCTGATGTTACATGTCGTCGATTTTTAGCGCAACACAGCGTTTCAATATTGTTGCGACATTGTTTCGAATGGTTACTACATTGTTCCAGCATTGCAACACTGTGTTGCAATAAAAATCGTCGTTGCCAATCGTCTCGTGTAACGTCACCTTAAGCACAAGGACATACGCACGCGCAGAATAGCATAGTTGATTTAATTCTCAATATCAGCTCTCCTCAACCCGATGATAAACAAGAAGCGTCCGCTAATATAAATTGCTTTTTATATGTCCGCATGAGGTCTGGGTCAAAGTGACCTGTAGTTGGTTCACGGCCTTGTGCTTATGTCGACCCAGTTTTCACTAGTCAAAGCTACGACATATGCACAAGCACAAAAACAAGTAACTTGTCCGTTTTTCTTGTGCTTATACTTATGCTTATGTCGACCCAGTTTTCACTTGCTTACACATGTGCTTGTGTCACAATTGTGTTTTTCGCTGCCGTCAATCATAATTACGATCACAAGAAAGGAACGTTGAAACTCAGAAACACACAAAACGGATCAGTGAAATCTACCAAGCACAGATCACAAACAATGACCTTTTGCACCCGTTTAAGTAAAGTTCTATATCATAAGAGGTCCGCTAAGATTATTGACGGCAGCGAATAACGCAAACTTCAGTTGGCTTTTGAACTTCAGAGTTTGCGTGTTTTTAAAAAGCGCTGTAAAGATTATGTAAAGCCTTGACTTCGTCTCGGGTTTGCATAACCGTCTCGAATTCTCCCAACACCCTCTTGTGTTTACTGTCGGGCTACGCAAACACGGAAAACGTTTTCTATTGCTCAAATTTGATATCTATCTGGTGATTTTTTTTCATCGATTTTCCGTTCAGGTGTAGTCAGTATAATTCAGCTATCTCGTCTATGGACAGCCATGAACTCTTCGCCATTTTCGTGAGTTCAGTCAGGGCCAAATCAACTAGGTTTCCCCGCCACTACCTGGAAACGAGATTGTGATTGCATATTAGGTCAATATACCATCTTATTCTGAATCCAGGAGTGGGCAAGATGAAGCAAATTTTGTGTTCTGATTGGCTACCCTGATGGGCCCATCCAGCCCGCTGGGTATTCCCCACGTTGGTCCCGGAAGAAAAGATTCTTTTTTCTGACCAAGCTTGTTCGGTCGAGATTGCTGTATATTTGCCTCATTATTATTTTGCGTTTTTATTGACTAATATCCAGCCATCTTGACCTCACACTTGGTCAATAACGCATATGTATCGATATGTATTATCTACATCTTCCAGTGCCTTTTTGTTATGAAGAATTAGTTAGGGTATCTGAGCCAATCAAAAGCGGAGAACTATTTTGAATGAATAGTAAATCAAAATTGAAGCACAGCAGGGACACACAAAACAATGGACAACTAATAAAATAAATTTCATCCCATTAATAGACGTCAGAAGCACGTTTTGGCTATGCTGAACGACCATCTTCCTCCTCACTTTCATCTACACTTGCCTTTCCAAGTTTTTCGCGAACAACTTGATTCTCTCTCTGGCTCTTGAACTCCAGATGCTCGGGGACATCTGGGATGATCCATGCTATCATACTGGTGAGCGAGTACACAACAAATACAAAGGCAATCACGAAGGCGAGTCTGGCGGCCACAACATTCCAGTATTCCTTGGAGTAACCATACGGGTATGTACTTTCACGGTAACTGGAATAACTGAGTAAACCCATAAACAAGTAGCAAGTGAATAAATTTGACCCTCTAAAGTTTAAACGGGTTGAGAAGGGAGGGTGAAGCTGCCCACCAAGGTTTTGCCCCCCCTTATTGGAAACGATTGTAAGCCAGAAGGCGTGGTATCAGACTTCTTAGGTTAGAATTTAAGGGCACACCGATCGGCAACAATACTGATCCACTTCCCCGGAGTATCATCATGGGAGAACTGCCGTGCGTTTTCCGGTCAACATTCCTATACTTGTTGGGAAATTTGACGCTTAAAGGAGTTCTTTGCACTCTCCTTTGCGGTCATGCTGATGACCCAAATGAGCTCAAAACAGATGTCCATTGTTGTTCAATGGGCTGATGATATGGCTGTGTGTATGTGTAAGGTGCTGGCCAAGTAGAAGTTTTGTGTCCGAGTGTTTGGTGCTGGTTGGTCTGATAATTTTGAATTCTCTAGATCTAATCAAGGTATCGAGGTCCAATTAACATAACAATTAAACAAAGTTATATTAAGGGTTTTTAGGACTGAAGATCTTTTCTGATATGTTCACGTTTGATCCAGGCAAGTTATAGTTATAACGCAAGCGCACATTCCGCTTCACCACACTCGCACACCCCGCTTCGCTATTGCGAGAGTATAAATTTGCGGGTATGTTTGAGCATAAAAGGCCAGGTAATCCATTCTTTCATTAGTGCTGAGATAACAGTGTTGCGATTATAAAACTTAAATAAACCAAGCAGAATAGCATCTTACCTGCAATAGTCCCTGGTGTAATTAAGATTCGCAAAGGGATTAATGGGCTCGGTCCCAGGCTCCCACGTGTATAGCGTCTTAAGATCAATGGAAGCAAGGCTGTCGTTGACGAATCCTTTAAGTGTCCCCCCGCCAGTTGAATTACGGTCTGGAGCATATTTCAATCTGTACAATAGCCTTGGTATGAACTCAGAAGTGAATGCTAACACAAACGCATTCATCAGCACTGCGGCGATGGTCACTGCTTCCAGTACACTGTACCATGCTCCGATATCTTCAGCACGCCCTACCGGGGGCCGCCTGTGATATGAAACCATGTTGATGGCATCCACCCGAATTTCCGCGACTGCGCACAGGACGAAAAATCAAGTATCCGTAAACTTAAACATGGTGGAAACACGTGACTCCGTTGCGGAAACACAGCGGCAAACGCGTGTTTCCGTTAGCGGATACATTACGGTTTCTCATGTTTCCGTCGCTGCGTTTTCAACGGAACCGGAACACTTTTTTACATGTTTCCGACAGATTTCCGTTTCAGGAATCACGTATTTCCGCAATCGTTAACGTGTGCTTATGTTGCGGAAACGCGATATTCCGTACCGGAAACCTGTTATTTCGTTCGTTCTACTGGCGGAAACGTGAAGATACGGTCCGGCAACCTGACTTGTTTTTCTGTGTTTCCGTCTGTTTCCGTTACTACGTAAATACGTCCAAAAAGTTTCATATTTGCCGAAACCAGGTTTTCCAATGGCAATTTTTCTTTATTCTTACATGAAATTAACCTTTGAGTATTTTTCCTGGTTAACTTACATGCAATGAAGACTTGCTCATTATATAAGTCAGACAAATATATACCACCATAAACCTGAAATCCATCTGTGTTGCATTTAAAATTTTATTCATTTCCTGCACATAGACTCGTATCAAACAATGCTTATTTATGGTCCTATCTCATACGCAGAAGTTGCAAAGTGAACACAGTTGTAGCGTGCTTAGAGGGTATAAAATAAGTGCAAAGATTCAAATGCACAAATTACATCAACAAAAAATGAATGGCTAAACTTTGACATAATACAAGTACTGTTTTTTGAGGTAAATTAATTGTATACTTCACAAATTGAAAACCTAGCCTTTTTTCAACATACTAACAAATTTAACAGACACTAATGTAGTCTTGAATTCAAGTGCAGCTTATGGCTAGTGATAGTTTTACAGCCTATAATATTTCAGCAAAGTGGAATATGATTTGTCTGGTGAATGTCCTGAGTAGGACTGTTGTTGACAGCGACTGACGTTTTATCAACAACGTGATCATTAATTTGATGGTCATTGTCAAATCATCAGTTCCTGTTTGATCATTTTCCACTTTCTTATTTCAAATGAATCCTAGCCTTAAACCATTCAGGATAACAATAAAATTATTATATTGTGTCAGGAAATATTCTTAATCTTCTGACATGGTGTTCTAAACTACTTACAATTCTCTATGACCAGTGCAAAGATTCAAATGCAAAGATACACCAACCAAAAAGTATGGCTTCAGTGTTACAAAATTCAAGTCTGCTAAAATTTTTTATGTGTTTCATGTATACCTTTTTTTACACCTCTCACAAAATCAACAGATACTTTTAAATGAATCTTATAAACTTGAACATAAACTCTGTTTTATTATCAAACATTGATGAAGGTAATAATTATTATTTCAAGACCTTGACAGTTTTTCAAATTGTTTTAAGGGACTACATGTATGCAGAGTGCAAAGAAAATCATTTTTACAGCTTGCCATCTGCTTGATGAGCAGAACTTATTTCACAGTTCTTCTGTTATTCAAATTTCTCAAAAACATCACTTGCCCATCCGGCAAGTTAAGAACAGAATTCACAAGCCCGATAGCAAAATCCACTAGCCCTGGGCTATTGGACACTGCTTTCTTTGCACGCTGTGTATGTCACGAGGATACTGGTGTTTTAAGTCACTTCTATTCTCAAGTCATTACTTAGTGCTCGATCGCTGGATATTGGCCAAGCTCTGTTTTGTGAGGCCAATTAAGTTCCATGATCTTGCTTGCTTTGAGAGAACCTTCTGCACCAAAATTGCATACCAAGGTGATCTGACTGTTGGATGAAAAACAAAACAAAGTGCTTTTAAGCAAAAATAATTTGACAGAGGCTATTCCCCAGGCAATCAGGGGGAGGAAAAACCTTTTTGCAGTAAGAAAACTACACGTAGTAAATGAATAACATATAACCACAAATGTACATGTATACAGTTGCGTTTCATAGTAATATAGTCAGGATATTATGTTCCCTGCACAATAAGACTGTGGACCAAGGGTTTAATGCAAACAGAGGCTGTCTGTAATGCATCAGTCAATTCCAGCTGCGCCAAGCCCCCCCCCCCAGGAATAAAATGAAGAGGGTTGTAAAGGTATGTTCTCGATTTTATGCATGCATTTCTTCATTGCATATCAAGCCAGAATTACATAGAGAAAACCGGAGCTATAGATGTGAATCAATGTGTTTTGGTTATTGAATCAAATTTCTGTTGATATTACTTCATTTTATAACCACCCCCCTCCCCTCAGTGTACTATGTATTACACAATACAAAATTCCCATCAAACGTTTCTGAATACAAGCTATCAAACAATATCAAACACAGCTTTTTTGAGCTTGATGCCTGAACAAAATCAAAACACACCAAATTATATTGAAAAAAAAAAATCAAATGTAAAAACTGAGTCACCCCTGGGAAAGCAAAAAAGCCAGGGAAATCTGACAAGCGCCAGATTCAGAAGGAAAATGCTTACTATTCAGGCCAATTGAGGAGCAAAGAGTAAAATCGAGATGATTTCAACTTGCAGATTTAAAGACCTTTTCCTTGGGAAACAAATGTACTGACATTTTCGCAGAGAATATATATTTTAGAATTAACTCTGAAATGGATTGAAATATTAAAAGAAGCAAGACCAGGGAGGGGGGAAGCTACTTCCCATACATTCTCTTAAATGAAATCCAAACAATGTTCTCACAACTTGCAAAGTGATCAGCAAGGGACTTGCCAGCGGATTTGTGTACTGATCATGCGCATTATGTCAAAAACTATTGATCAACAGTCTTGAGAAAAAAACAAAAGCATGGCAGTCGAAGGCGGGACTGCTTCTCACTATTATATTTTGGTAATTTGCAAATTTATTGATTTTATGTCGCTTTTCAGACATAGTGTGTGGTTTTCTTTTTCTGTAAAACAATTTCCCTTTGCAGAGTTTGGAATATGCAACATATAGCTATCTTCGTATAGCTGCTAAGAAAAGGCCTCCGAAGAGTTGAGCTATCGAGCAGTGTTTTGCTGCAAATCTTAGGAAAGTTAAAGTCGCTTCAAGGTACAGAGCTTTCAGTAGTAGTTGTGATTTGTTTTACGATCGTTTTGAATTTTAACTTTGGATTCAAGGTGTTGACTGATTGAAATAAACAAAGTGAAATGTTAGGAAGTGTTAATTTTTTATTCAGTTATGATATGTAGAACAGTAGGCTCATATTTATAAAGCTTTCTTGAATATACTTGCTTCCGATGAATTTGACACTTGCTCCAGTAATTTTTATCAGCATCAAGTTATCCTTGCCCGGCAAAAATGATGTAACCTATAAATAAATCCATCGAGCGCGTTGTTGTTGGTTAAGATCTAGCATGGTTGCATTTTAGTTTCCCCCGCATTTCAGTACTGAAAGACAAATATGGTATGCAAGAAAAACAAAGTTGCAGGATATAATTTTTTTCAATTTTTTAAGCATTTCTGATTTCCTCTGCCGGTTCGCTTCAATTCTTGCTTCTAAAATATTTACTGTGGGAAAAATACCGTAATTATCCACTGACCACCACGCTGGGTGACCGCTTTGCAAGTTGTGAGAACATCGTTTCTCGGCCCTAGACCTCGTCTCTTCCCCCCCCCCCCCCCCCCACTGAGCAAGACCTTTCATCACCTTGACTACTTTCACACTGGATCAATAATTAACACACATGTCATCAAGAGTTTGGAATTTAAAGGTTCAATGTTGTTCCATTCGAATTTTTCTTACGTGGGTTCCACTTTGTTTGATAACTCAATGTTTGATTGACTTCGAAAATTGTACGTATGTACTCAACTTTTTTTGGTGAGTTGGGTTTTGTTGAATGGCTAAGCTGCATAAAACTCTTTCATGTGAAAGAGTTTGATCTAGCTTGAAAACCAAACATTCAATGTGATATGCTGGATATACATGTAATTCCTAAACTAAAATATTTTAGCAGTGAGAGGCGTACCAACAGAGGAAATAAATCAATAATTGACAAAATCTCATGCCTTTTGTTTTTCTCACTTGTATTTGTACCTTGGTATTGAAGCTGCGAGGGAAACTAAAAAACAAGTGACAGTCACTGCAACCATATAACATCTTAACCGACAACAATGCACACTGAGCTATGAGTGAGGATATCACGTTACTTAAGTTACGATGCTGATTGAAAAATTACTGGAGAAAGTGTCAAATTTAGTCAAACTAAGTCTAGTCTACAGAGCTTATGTAAATAGGAGCTTGCATATCTGAATAACTTAAAATACGATAAAAGTAAAAATTCTGCCAAACATCTTAGAATTTTAATGAGTAGATTTTGAGAAATCATCTTCTGTGTACCATTGTTTTTTTCGCTGCCTTGTTGGTTTGTCTAATTTAAAACATGCGCCGTCACATGAGTTACTGCTGACTGCCCGCAAAACTGTGTTTAGCCACCTTAAATTCAATGTTATGTTTGCCACAAAACACTACTCCAGCTCAACTCTTTGGTGGCTATTATTAGTAATGTGTTGCATATTTCAAACTCTACAGAGGAAACTGTTTAACAGGAAATGTCTGAAAAGTGATATACAGTTACATGTAAAATCAATACACTTGAGAGTAACCAAACTATAATAAAGAGAAATAATGTCTGATCTTCAATTTCCCTTTTTTAGTTTTTTTTTCCCTCAAAACCACAGATCTTTGGTTATATAAGGGATGATCAGTAAACAAATCTCCTGGTTGCTTTGCAAGTTGTGGGAACATTGTTTGGATTTCATTTGAGAGAACATAATTTATAAGGAGTACCCCATCCCCACTGGTCAATATGATGCTTGCATAGAACTGCAGCATAATACAGGATAATAGAAGTAGTTTTACCAGTTTAACTTCACTGCTGGTATTGCTGTCCACCGAGATGAAGACTTAAAGGGGCTACAATTTTAGTATCATTCTGTGGCAGTTGATTTCACACTATTTACCACGCCACATTACGAAGTTCATTTGGAAATTGGGTACCACATCATGAGGAAGCCAAATTATGTAGCGAGTTTATAGGAAATCAATTGCAAACTTTGAGATGTAGTTGTCAACTTTTGCGCGACTGAACTTCACAAGTTTGCTCAACACCTGGAGTAGTCAATCGATAAAAATAGGTATCAATTTATCAATCGATAAATCAATAAAAATTGGTAAATCTGATTTGATTGACATTGATTGTATCGCTCAATTGGTAGAAATCTGTGACACACTCATTTAGTTTATCGATTTATCTAGATTTTACCAATTCCATCGCTTTTTATCGGAAGATACATCTGTTCTTCTGCTCATCCAAAAATGAAAACTGATTTCACGCAAACAGTGAATTTGTTGACAATTGAGTTGCAAAAATTGAGAGTCAAAGGATCAAACAATTTATTATCACGAGTCTTTTAAAAAAAGTTTTAAAAAACCTTATCTTTTCTTTAAAACCTGCTTTAAAGTCTTCTTCGGATGGCCGATATTAGCCAGGTTTTTTATTTTCCCCAGTTTTTCAAAATGTAGATCTGCCGCCCATTCAAAATAACCTCAGTTCCGCGTGTAGTTACTTCCTGGAGTAGCCAATAGTTAAAAAACTAAATCGATAAAAATCGTTAGCGATCAAGTGATTTTATCGATTGATAACGGAAAACGGTGAAAAGCTATCCAGAGAAATTTTTTAGTCTGAATTTTGGGCATCCCTTTGATGTAATAATTATAAAACCGAACCGTTCCTGTTATTATGTACAAAAGGGTCACGGTTTTAGAGAGACCCTTGTGTCTGTAATAGTTTCCACATTTCTTATTTCCATGTTTGTTGATCAGTTGTTACTCGTGGATGAGTTTTCTCAGCTGCACTTATGCCAGAAAACAACAATGTTGGAAGTACTGTTATAAATTGTTAAAATCATGAAATATCAATAATATCAATTTGACACAGCAATTTAGTTTATCGATTTTAACCGATTTCCGTTATCAATCGATAAAAATCACTTGATTGCCATTGATTTTTATCGATACCAAGTTTTATCGATTGACTACTCCCGGTCTAGCGTAACTTCTTTTCCCAGTTGCATTAATCACTGAGTTCTTGTTAAAAAAGGCCCTATTCCTGGGATCACAGTTACTGCAAACATCTAAATATTCTTCAAGTTTATCTTGAGCATTCTCAGTAAAGCATTATTATATTATAAGCACTCCTTTGGAACTATTGTCAACTTTTTGTATGAGTAAACCAAATCGAGTGTCACTACACGACTAATTGAACCTTTGTGGGTCAATAACCTAATTTTTGACAAACTGGTTTTGTATTTCTGTAGTATACATACTGTACTTGATCTTTGTCGTTCACAAAACTCTGTGTAGGGCCTTCCTGTATGCACAAATTATTGATCGACTAAATTTGTTACTGTCTTTCTCGGTAAATTAAGTTATGAAGTTCAGTAGCACCAAAGTTGACAACGACGTCTCAAAGTTCGCAATTTGATCCCCTAACTCGTAATGTTGTTGGCCATTCTGTAACGTAGTACCCAATTTGCCCACGAACTTTGCAACGTGGTGCTGTAAAGTCATGTGAAGTCAACTGTAATTACACGTACATGTCCGTATCGCATTTGTTATGAAACTTGAGAAATCACTTATCAATCACAGCTTTGTGTCAACAAACATGTCTCCCAAGCATTATATATTATCAAACATTGAAGACCACAAAAATGAAATCTGAAAAACTGTTAGGCTAACAAGTTTCAAAAGGACCAATGGCCATCCTTTTCAATTTTCTTAACTCTGTCCATCTGTTCCTCATTTTAAGAAAAATCTTTATTTGTACTCACTCTTGCTCTTTGCTTTGTTACTTAAACGTTCTTTTCATGTTTTGAGCAGTATTGTTTTGTTTCACTGAGATTGGTGGTGGTTTCCAGTGCTGTAGTTTTGACAAATTTCGTGACACTGCTCCCTTAAGTTGCTAAGTACAGTAGTTATTGATCAGTGGTTAAAGAAACTTAGATTTGGTGTCAGGGCAGCTTACCTCGTCGTGCTATCTGTATTCTCCATCACAATATTCAGTCTTGGATATCCTTGGCACAATCAAACACTCCAACTTTCAAATTATTCTTGGCCATCACGAGGTTTTTCTCTCACATCCTGCCAGTGTCAGAAAAGGGTCGCTTTACGAGGGAAGCGATCGACTACTGAAGGCCGATGGGTCGACAAATATACATAACAACCCTTAGATGTCTTGTGGTGCAATCGGAAAGCAAAAATATACTGACTCTACGCTCCTAGAACCTACAGAAGCTGGCAAATTTGAAGCCGTTGCAATCACTTTCAAAATGGACGCCAAAAAAAGAACGACCGCAATGAGCATGAGCAAAAGAAACGTCCGCTGACCAGCACTCCGTTCTGTTCTAGGCCCCATTCTCCCCATTCTTTCTTGTTTTCTCAGCCTAAGATGTCTAAGATCATTTTACTTTTATGCCAGTACTGATTGAGATCAATCTGACAACTATCGACAGCTGTTGGTATTCTCTGCCATTTTAATCACTTAGAATCGAAAACAGTGGCAACCTCGCGCACTTCATAGTAGTTGCATCAATGCAACGCGCGCGAGTATTTAATGCATGAGCCTGACCGTTTAATGGCCCGATCTCGAGAGTAAATTTACCTTTATTCACCTTGATTGTACGCAGAGCCAAAATTTCTGAAACATTTATCATGCGATCTTGGACATGGGTCGCCGGAAACGTAATGGAAACAAGAAAGAACGGAAATGTGCTAACAGAAATGTGGCGGAAACATGATCGTTCGTTTCCGACTAGAAAACATAACGGAAACGCGTCCCGTCCACGGAAAACTAGATCACCATGTTTCCGCAGGGCGGAAACGAGACGGATTTAAGCAACTGCACGTTTCAGTCGAGTTTACAAAATACGGAAACACGTTATTTCGTCCTGTGGCGTTTATAAGAGCAAATATTGGGGCGAGTGGAAATGCGGCAAGAAACATGGTTACAAAGCCGTACTGGAGAACTGAAAACAGCGTAGCAAGACTGTTAGTTTGTTGGTTTTAACCGGGTTTTACTTCCGGTACTAATTAACGGATGAGTCTACTTCTCTTCCTCTATTTGGAATAGAAGCTGAGTGAAATCTATTTCCAAAAAGCCCTTCGCCAACAGGAGGATGTTTGAGCGTGGATTTGTGTTTGAATGGGCTTCATTGAGAGTATCTGATAGACAAGGGCGGGGAGGGAAGGCCGGGCGTTTGATTTCAAGTACAACCTCCTGTAAGACAACTTTTCTGAGGCCTTTTTTCGGTTAGTAAAGGGTATTGTTTCTCCCCTATCCCAATACCCAAGACGACAAAGTGACGAAATGATGACCTGAGGAGAACCGACATGGCATTTCAAGGCGCCACCTTTTAAAATCGAGCACTTTAATTTGCATAAAGCACCTATCAGTTATCAGGTTGTCTTTTTTTGCTGCTACATATTTCATTTTCTTTATTCATTTTACCTATCTCAAGGTAGTCCCAGAATAGGTAATGATCCTCAAGTGTGCTTAGATCGTAGTCCTTAATATACTGTGGCTGGTCACTAATCTCTTGTAATTCCTTCCGTTTGAGCCATAGCTTGAACCATCTGTACTCCAAAGAAAAAGACATAGATTTAGTAAGAAAAGAATCTAACGAAAACAATTATGATTTTCGTACTACTGAAGTAAGCAATTACATAAAAACTCTTTAATGGCTAAAAATCACAGGTAGTGCAGAACCGTCATCTCTACTAAGGATCGGATTCTGGCGTTTTATGTGAATGCCTCCTTGATTTTGCTGTTAACGTCAATGGTCTGTCTCTCGGTAAACGATTTAATTTTATGAACCCTTTCTTCTTTTGGTTGACCATTCTCCATACCTCAAGGATCGGCCAAGCTGTCTCTACTATTCGCTTCCACAGCTGTTGCGTGGAATATCGCATACAAGGCCCAATACTATAATTTGTGTGGACCTTGTGACTAGAGTTAATGGTCACGAACATTCATTGATTTTTTGTATGTAGGCATTTTTTCTCACTTAGTGTGTCCGGCGCACTTTCTTAAACTGAATGATTCCAGGGTTTTTCAACAGAAGGATCGAGATATTTTAGTACAAAAATGTCCTAGCTATATCGGATGTTGTAAAAGTCACTTGACTCCGCGAATTTCCGGGAAAAAATAATACAACACAGGGCTATTTCTGGGATTTATCCTTTGGGGAAGAAGTCCCTAGTGGCCACGAGCTTCCTAGGGGGGTCCGAGGGCATGCTCCCCGGGATTTTTTTGAAATGAATATGCGCTGAGATGTAATCTGGTGTATTTTGAGACACAATTTTGAGACTTATGTTACAGTGGCATTTTATTTAATTATATTTTACTTGTGACCACACGTTCTTTTTATATGGTGTCCTTAGACAAGGAATACTTACTTCATGTGCACTGATCATGACCTCGTCACTTCTGGATGATTTTTCCGATATAGCTACTTATATACTATAATGATAACAATATTTTTGGGGGGGAAGCTGGTACCCCTCAAATACCCTAGACAGAACCCTTCAAGAAAAGCAATGAATCTGGACCAAAAAAATATACACTCGACATCTGAATCATTTCAAAAAGTGTCTGGGCTGCTTCATTGAAGCAGCACATTCCAAGACTTAGACCTTGACTTTAAGATCACAAGAAGACAGTAATTATCTAAATTCACGTCCCATACAGGCATCCATTTCGCATTTAATTGTTTATTAAACTAGGCAAGTCCGTTTAGCAATTTTCATACTGTAGAAATCAAGACCAAATTCAGAAGGTACACACTACCATCCCCGTGGAAAGGCAAATGCTTGACGCATGTGCACAGCCCTAGGCGAAGGGTAAAATCTGGCCTTGTGAAAATCAGACCTTGTAGTTACTCAGGGGCACCCAACGACTGTTTTCTCTATCATATCTGTTCGGAGAAGCAAATATTGCCTAGAATTTTCTATTACTTGAGGACGGCTAAAAAGTTCTATATTATCATTCCATGCACAATTTTCGAAGCTTATCTTATAAATTTCTACGATTTTCTAAAGTTTAATTTTTCACAATTCACTCTCAGGGTTAGGCTATTTTTCATAGAAAAAAGGAAACCTTAAATTTTCACATTCAAAAATGCGATGGAGAGAGGAATCAGAAAAATTCTCACTTTCCTAGTATGTTAAATTGCGGCTAAAAATTTTCGGGAAAATAATACTGAAGCCCTTGTAACTGTTCAAAAAGACTCAAGTTCAGCTAGGATGACCGAAAAAATACAAATTTTAAAGCACCTCTCAGAATGCATTTCTAGAGATCTAAACCGTTGTCGCGTACCCTTACCCTACTACCTTATTTTTTTAAGCGGAGCCAAGAGACGAGTAAACTATACACGGCCATCACCTCAGTTTCACCGCCAAAAATACAGTAATTCTTAACTGTATATATCTTTCCATTTCCAGGGATACTTACGGAATGCCAACTTCCAGGATGTTGGAGACAATCTGCAAGCCGATCATGAGAATTGCAATCTGAATGGCGAGTTCTAAGAAGCATCCCTCCTCGCTGCAGCCTTCCAGTCTGTACTTTCCAAAAACCCTGGTGTATCTTCCTGGTGAGCCAACAATAAGATCAGACTTGAAAAATGCAATGTAAATAATAGACGAGAAGGTGTTTACAAACTGGAAAAGAGCCATTTTTGTTGTGAAATTGTCCTCATAGATGGTACGAGTTTTAGGGTTTTCCCAGTTGGTCAGCCAAACAGCAATTTTGTCGTAGGCGTACTTCAACACGGTGATGGCCACTAGATTGATGCACGCAGCTATACCCGTTGTCAGTATTTGAGCACTACTCTGAACAGTTCGCTCTGAACTGCTACTTAGGGTGGCAAAGACAGCCGCACGAAACACCACTATACCGATCACAACAGCTAACACCAGACAAATCATGAATGTGACCACGCTAGCAACCACTGCAAAACGACGATTCTGCTTCATTCTTTTAGCCCTAAACACTATCTTGCCAGTGTCTGGATCAGGTCTGAATGGATCAAGTTCTTCTTTTGTTAGAGAACTGACATATTCGGGGCGAAGTGGCTCGTCTTCAGCTTCGAAATCTTTCGTGTGCCATGCTTGGGCTATAGAGGCTTGTCGACGCTTCCAGAACTCAAGAAAGAGGGTGGCCCAAATAGACGCAACAAAGGCGAGAACAGGGGTGCCATCGTTGTCAAAGATGTAAGTTATGGAGGCATAGAGACAAGTAGTAGTAGCTAGGCTCCAGTAGCTGCACTCTCTATCACAAAGAGGACACATGTACCAGACACCTTCATTCCTTTCGTTACACACGTCTTGAACAGGAATAAACGAGCCTAGGGATATGATGCCGTACAAGAAGACAATCAAAGAGAAGATAGCGAGTGGAACCAGCATGGCCGTGTAGAACCCAAGCCAGGCAAAGTACAGACCAATTTCATGGCCGAAATAATCTTTGATGGCCTCGTATGGTTGGTACTTGAAACATCTACCAAATCTTGCCCAGTCACTTTTCAAGCGTTGGCGGTCATTCACAGGGAATTCTCCTTCCTCAAGTTTCGCCGTTCCCTCGTGCAAAGGATAATGCGAGGTGTATGCACCATCTAAGACCAGCCTATTGAGACCAACGCAGTGAGGCTCCTCGGAGAAGCGGGTATTTTGCAGAATCTGCTGGACCATGTACATTCGATCTACAGGGCTGAAGAAAATATCCTTATCCTCGTAGTTGATGAACTTCTCCAACTGTTCTTGTTGGAAACGGCCCACAAAAAAATCTCCCTTTTCTCTGACTGTTGCATCGTGTACACGTAATGGATCGCAACGCTTAAGGGCTTCAATCCGTTTTGGACCACACCATGACTCCAAAAGCGATGGAAATTCTACGTCGCTTGGTTGAAGGGGAATCTTTAATCTCATCTTTTCTGCCCGCCTAGACAAAAATTCCCACGTCGCATGAATTAACACAAAATGGCGTTGAACGTCAGGGCCCTAAAGACAGTGATAAGGGAAATTTACGTTAACTGTTATCGACACTTAATTGTTTTAAGTAAATTACCAGCATATGAGCAAAACCGTAGCTTAAAGACTTGGCTAAATTTTTTCTTGGTTTTCATTTTACGTCACCAAAATTCAGCAACAATGGAACCTCTCCTCTGAGACACCTCCATTCAGGGAACACAAAAACCTGTTCCTGAAAAATGTTCACATAATCTTTCTTATTCAGGAGAATGGGGCACTTTTTACTTTGCAGGTCCCGAAACCAAGGTTTAACCTCTACTTAGGAGACACCTCAGCACTCAGAAAGTGGCTGGGCACAAAAAACATTTATAAGTTTAAGTGTACATCAGTAACAATGGCGACAGCTTTCAAAACATGAACTATCTCACCTAAATTAATGTACTGCACTTGAAGGAATTCAACACACAGCATCGAGGAGATAATCTAATCATGTTTTTTATACATTATCTAACTGCTTGAAATAATGGCTGCAGCAGATTACGAGGAAGACTATAAAAGACAATTATTTTATCTGTTGGTTTAAATTATCAAAAAACCCAGCCGAACCTCTATTTAGTGTAGACTTGCCTTGGTGCCGATGGTGTTGTTTGAATGGAGGTTCCACTGTAGCTAAAGAATATCAATTCATTGTTTTCATGATTTATTGCTGCAGCTAAACAGGTTTCGGTTTGAAAGAGCTCTTCGTTTTGCGACAGAATACGCTTGAATTTCGAAGCCTTCTTGTGACGTGGCATTTTGGTGACTGCGAGGGTGAGGCAGCTGTCATGTAGGTTCTGAAAGTTCGCTATGTAAATAATCCTTAATTGTCTCAGAATTAATATAATGTCAACCTTTATAACTTCGCCATGGTGAGTTCACACCTTGTTAACAAAATTCACACAGGTGTTTCAGTTGGTCTCCGGCTGCCATGTTTTGGACACTAATATGTCGTCTCCATACAATGCCAAGAATCTCGCATAAGGAAAATCACACAGATCTTATTCTTGGAGAGGCTTTTTTCATGTTTATCTCCTTTCATTTCCCGGATTCTGGACTTTGTGTTTTGAATGGTACGATTTCATTTTATGTTTGATGGCACTGCATTAAAAACCTCCAATAGTATTATGAAATTTCAAGATGAGCTTTATATTAAGGCTTCACTTGCGTCCTTCGCTTTGTTGTAAAGCCGCAGCAGGTGGTGGCTTGCTCTCAATGGCATCATCGCCAGAAAATATGGAATTCGTTATTGACAAGAAAAACATTGTAACTGCTATAACTCTTGTCGATCGAGAATGTGTTAAATCAAATAGTATTTTGCTCGAAATCAACGCCGACGATTTTTCTCATAAGTGGAACTCACCTTTGAGTATAATTGACCAAATTTGTTTATGGAATTACAAGTGAGACAAATAGCAAACAAACAAACAAACAAGCCAAAAACTCCTTAAGAATATGATGTTAGACTACACGGTAGAACTGGGAAATTTTAAAATAGTAGCTCATTAGAATTGTAACACGTACATTACATTTTTTCATAGTCACTGTATCAATCCATTTTATCCATCTTACTCTCTTTGGTAACAATTTGTTGTTTTAGATAGTTGTCTTAATTCTTTTTAGGCAAGTTTCGGGTCACAATGTAAACAAATAGGTTTTTAGAAATTCTGCTCACGTAAAGAAGTTTATTTATTTTGTATCTATTTATTTATTCATATATTTATTGCATTACTTCATCAGTTACTGCATGATTGAGTCATTGGTATGCCTTAACGACGAAGTACAGAGAAGTCCAGTTCTTTCAGAACCAGAAATTCAGAGGTAGCAGTTTTAGCGTAACAAGACAATCAGGAAGAAAGAATATCAAGGTCTTTGTATCTGGTAGGGTTTTTTTTTTCATACATTTCACTGGGGCAAACAAAATAAAATAACCGGTTTTCTGCTAAAGGAAGAAGCGGAATATTGCATTTCTCCGGCTAGCTACTGAGTGACTGGCACGAAGCCTTGCCATGGTAACTGTGAAAAGGAAGTTAGAAAACAATTTTCTATTCTCCTACCTCGCTTTGGCTGACATATGAAGTACAAAGGATTTTACCCTCCCTCCCCCCCCCCCCCTCCCCTTTGGCTGACAAGGAAGTAAGAAAACATCTTTCCCTCTCTTCCCTCCCTTTGCCCTACTTTTCTCCAGTCCAGGGCAGGTACAGCTGCATGATCTCACCTTTGCTGGGAAAATGTTGTTGTTATCTGGATCTTCCTAGCTTAATTTGTTTGAATCAAATAAAAGGCCACGCACTGGCCAAATTTTTCCAAGTATGGATTTTTCATTATTTTAAACCCCAGCAAACAGAGCTCATGCGCGCAAAGTTAGACTCCGCCAGCATCAACAATTGACTTAATATGCCCAGGAAGATGATGAAGCATAAATGGTATTATTTGCTATAACGGCTATACCGCGATCCTCTGTTAGTAGGAGTTCCAATGTACAAACCAACCAAAGAGACATAAAAAAATGACATTTGATAGCCTGTAACAAAAAAAGAAAACTGGTATGCTTGGTCCAGGGAAGGTGGCTAAGGGAACGCGCCATAATCATTAATGACTACTTAATTGTCTTGTCTAGAAAGATAGATAGATTGGCATGCTTGCAAATAAAAAAAGTGACTCAGTTTTGCTCGATATCATCTGATAAGAGTTCACTCACGGACATTATTTGAGGAGTCTAAACTGAGAATGGCACCCGAGTGAACGAAAGATGAAGTAATAATTAAAATAAATAAAGGACTAAATAAGATCCGCAACGTGAACATTCTTAAGGGGGCGCGCTACTATAGCCCAAAAAATTGATATTTTAGACTAAGAATACCTTTTTCACAGTAACGCTATCTTGCCGTATAATAAGACCTTTCTTTTCAAGTCCCTTCTCGTACGATCTTCTTAAGTTTTCAAGTTTCTCCGCCTCCTTCTTCTTATGTTCGTGTTCGTTCTCCTCTTCTTTACAGGTCTCGTACACCAAGACGTAGTCAATACGCAAACCTTCATCTCTCGGGTACGCTCCTTGATTTCTCGCTTCAGGCGCGACTGGATCATCGTCTTGAGACAATTTAGCGTAGGCTCCTCTGTCCATAGCAACAGAGTTCCTTCGTTTTAAAATCCTCCCGAGATGACTGAGACGACCGTGACTAGAAACAGTAGAAAGCGAGAATTTTCAACGTCTCGCTTCAAAATGAGATGGAATAATTTAGGAACATGAATTTACTGCGCATAAATGTTTACGTTCTTGTTTTTGAGATCCATAGCTAACCTTCTAAGATGTTTGACTCTTACAAACAGAAGATAATTGGATATCACTTTTTTCCAGAGGTCGTGGTGGTTTTAGTCTCAGAGTGAAGTTAACTGACGCATTATCGATCGAGTAGCAATGTATCTGCCTTCGAAGTCGATTAATATTAATTTTACTTTCATGAAGGCAGAAGCACTGTTTCCCCGTCAATTATCAGTCACACATAATTATTCTTATCAGCTTAAGTTATGGAAACTGATAGCACTGTTTTCGGTTTTCCCCTTCCACTTCGCAAACGGAGCACTTTGCATTATGACCAGACAACAGGGTTTCGAGAGAAATGAGGATGACAAAAAACATAAAAGAACATTCAAAGTCGAAAAATGCGACTTAAACAGTAAAACGACGTAAAACAATCGACAGAAAAAAAAAGACAAAACAAAACTAAAAAAAACAGGCGAGCAATTAAAGAAGCCATCAAAGGACAAAATTTTAACTTATGTAAAGAAGATAAATTAAATTACTGTGAGGTTTCGTTGTTGCTGGTGTTGTTCGCTCGTCGAAAGTAGTCATGGGAGAGTAACTATTAAAATCGTGCTTTTTCAAGTAAAAACTAAAGTACTTTCGTATTTAATGGTGAGTTGAATTGCTTTTAGAATTTTCGTATGCCCCGTATATAGGTGTACCAAATTCCCTTTTTACTCTTGACGAAAACCTAACAACACCAGTGTTTTGTGGAAAGCATGTACAGCATTCATGGAGTTTGATTTCAGGGTAACATGTGTGTCTAAGAATTTTCTATCTATCATCATATTTAAATAAGCATAGGATACAACAACGCAACACAATTTTTAGGTGTTTAATTCACGCCCTTGTTTGAATCACGCAAAGAGTTGTTAAGTTCTACCTGGTTGAAACTGAAAAAAAGAGTTTCTTAAACATTTCTTTCATTTTACAGTTACTGAAATTTCATCAAGTCTCAACATCCACTTTCATTATTTATCATGTTTTAATTTTTCCAGGACAACGAATCCGTCCATCGAAACGATAGTTAAGGCATTAACTTCATCGTTCTATAGTTGAGGTATAGAATATAAAGAAATATAAAGAGAGTGGCGGTTTGATTTCAGTTTCGACGTACGCGTTGGGCCCAAATTTTCCACTGAACGTGAACGATTGTACAATAATACGTTGAGAAAAAGAAAGTCATTCCTCTGTTATGCAATCTTGCGAAAAGCACAACAGAAACGCCGCCTGTTTCATGTGAATTCATTGCGTGAGAGAAACAGTCACGCTATTCTTAATACACTCCCTACAGCTATTCCAATGCTAATTACCCAAAAACCAGTCCGAAAAAGATTAACTGATACAAAAATGCGTTTTTTTTTCCTGTTCTCACAACTTGCAAAACGATCAGCAAGGGTCTTGCCAGCAGATTTGTGTACTGATCATGCGCATTGCGTGAAAAACCACAGATCAACGGTCTTGAGAAGAAGCAAAAACATGGCGGTCGAAGGCAGGACTGTTTCTCACTATTATATTTTGTAATTCACAAATTTATTGATTTTATGTCGCTTTTCAGACATAGTGTATAGTCAGGGCTCACTCATATATGTACACATATATCCAATTACTTTGTGTAGGCATCACAAGGTATCCAATGGCGGTTTGAGATATGGAAACTAGCGTTTACCGCAAACCTTAGGAAAGTTAAAGTCGCTTCAAGGTACAGAGCTTTCAGTAGTAGTTGTGATTTTTTTATTAGAATCGTTTGACTTTTAACTTTGGATTCAAGATATTGACTGATCGAAAAAAAAGAAGTGAAATGTTATGAAGTGTTAATTTTTATTCGGTTATGATATGCAGAGCTGTAAGCTCATATTTATAAAGCTCTCTTGAATATACTTGCTTCCGATAAAAGTGGCACTTGCTCCAGTAGTTTTTATCAGCATCAAGTTATCCTTGCCCGGCAAAAACGATGTAACCTATAAATAAGTCGATCGAGCGCGTTGTTGTTGGTTAAGATCTAACACGGTTGCGTTTTAGTTTCCCGCGCAATTTCAGAACCGAAAGACAAATACGATATGCAAGAAAAACAAAGATGCATGCATATTATTTTTTTCAATTTTTTAAGCATTTCTGATTTCCTCTGCCAGTTCGCTTGTTGCTTCTAAAAAGTCTAAAAATATTTACTGTGGGAAAAATACTGCAATTATCCGCTGACCACCACGCAGGGTGACCGCTTTGCAAGTTGTGAGAATATCGTTTCTCGGTCCCAGACCTCGTCTCTTCTCTACCCCCCGCCCTGTTCTGGACAAACTAAAAAAATTAAACAGTTTCATGAAATATTAATGAGATATGAATGACTGATACGAATAATCTGCCCTGAAACCACTTTTAACATGGCATGCACCTCAGACATGCAAGTACTGCATCGATTGTGAAACAAGTCCCCTTATAGCTCTTGATGCAGACGATTTAAATGTCTGAAGCAAGCGTTGCCTTTACAGACAGACCATCTTCCTCTTCACTTTCCTCTTCATCATCACTTGCCTTTCCAAGTTTCTCTCGAACCACTTGTTTTTCTCTTTCGCTTTTGAACTTCAGATACTCTGGGACATCCGGGATAATCCATGCTATCATATTGGTGATCGAGTACACAATAAATACAAATACGATCACGAAGGCCAGTCTGGCGGCAACTAGATTCCAGTATTCCTTGGAGTAGTTGTATGGATAGGTACTGTCATGGTAACTGACGTAACTGGAATTGAAATAAATCGGTAGGGAAATGTTAGAGGAGCGACGTCATGAATTTTTTAGTGAAAAGAGATATTTTCATACAGTTTCGGGTTGTGTTAATAGTTGTGGTAAACACATCAATTTCTGAAAAAGTGACTGGTGGGTTTTCGTTTGCCAGCCATTGAAAATGGGTGCAAAAAGTAAGGAAGGGCCAGGGGGCTAGCAAGGGTGTTGCAACATCGAGAACACTCCATCCTTCCATCCTTTTCCGGCATTCATATCGTAAGGGACTGCGTACCAGTCTATTTTTTTGGGAGGGAATTATCAACAAAAGAATAAGAATATATATATATAGAAAATCCCCAAGTCTTCTGAGCTTATATTGAACAAGATAGGCTAATGTTGAACAAGAGACGCAATATGCCCAGGAGTACCACGGAGTCGACACCAAATGGCCGTACCATTTTCAAATTGAAAAATGTGGTAGACGTAAAAATGAAAAATTTCCTATATTTATAAGTATTAGACAAGAGACTTTTAACACAAGCAGTTTACCTGCAGTAGTCTCTGGTGTAATTAACGTTTGCAGTAGGGTTTACAGGCTGGGTCCCAGGCTCCCACTTGTATAGCGTCTTAAGATCAATGGAAGCCAGACTGTTGTTGATGTATCCTTTCAGAGTTCCCCCGCCAGGTGAATTGCGGTCTGGAGCATATTGCAACCTGTATATTAGCTTGGGTATGAAATCAGAAGTAAATGCTAACACGAACGCATTCATGAGTACTGCAGCCTTGGTCACTGCTTCCAGTACACTGTACCATGCTCCGATATCTTCAACACGCACTACCTGGGGCCTTCTATGATACGACACAAAGTTGATGGCATCCACGCGAATTTCCAAGACTGCGTTAATGAGAGCAAAGAATGGGGCGAGTGGGAATGCAGAAACAAACATGGTGACAAAGGCGTACTGAAGAACTGAAAAAAAATATATATATTCAGTCGGAAATTAAGTTTGCCTTAAACGTTATCTGTAAACCAAGGTGACGGCACACTCCTGAATGGTGTAGCTCGGGAATTTTTTTACTGCCAGGTTGTTTTGGTAAGTGTTGTAGCTAAGGAATGTAAAAGTAAATGTAATCATGCGGAAGCGGCTGGTTTGACGAGTAGTACCTAAAAAAGTAGTAAGCAAACGAGTAGTTCAACAAAGAAGCTGGGTAATGAGGGTAACTGAGGTTTGTCTTCTTATTGCGTCTAAAGATGCAACATTTTATTTTACCTATTTCAAGGTAGTCCCAGAATAAGTAATGATCCTCTAAGCTGCTTAGTTCGTGGTCCTTGATATATTGCGGCTGATCAGTGAACTCTTTTACTTTCCTTCGTTTGAGCCAGAGCATGAACGATCTGTATATTAATGTTAAAATAATAGATGATATATCTGTGTTAGAAGGTGATGGAAACTATACCCATCAGTATACCATCGAATCTATGGTATATTGCTCGCCCGGATCTGCCAAATAAGGTTGACCTTTTCGCGTTAAATATTGCTGTAGACTCTATCTTATCAACTGTTTGTGAAGAATTAGCCGGGAGACTGGAGCCAATCAGAAATGGCGACATATTTTGAATGAATAATAATGAAAATATATTGATAATGCTTATGTTTATGATGAGCAGACATGATTATGATAAGTTTTTTTTTTTTGCATGGGACCAACATCAACAATAGGTGCACTTCAGTGGGTCCGAGCTCTATGTGGTAGACAGGTAAATATAAACTGACTACAAGGTTTGCAATCAGATTAAAACGCGAAAACCAGTCCAATGTTAAGATCGATATCCAACTAATGAGAAAAATCACAAAACTATTTCCACAGTTCATGTATGAGGTTAGAATTAGAAGATAAGAAAATTTGCATCACGTGTCTACTGAGATGGTTCCAATGAACACGATGATAAATAAAATGATTTATTTAACAAAGCTCTCATGATATGTGGGCAGCATCTAACTTTAGTTGACCCGTATATACCTAATTCAATATAGGTTGCTTTGACTATTGGTCATTTGGGCATACGAAATCGAACCAAATGCCATGATTTGCTTGAATGACTGACCGCCAAACAACAGCTTCCCCAGTGCGCAATTCCCAATGCCCAAAACAACTTTCATTGAATCAGCTATATACGCACTTTAAGGGAAAAACTTACGGAATGCCAATTTCTATAATGTTTCCGATTATCTGTTGCCCCACCATAATAATCGCGATCTGAATTCCGAGTTCTAAGAAGCAGCCCTGTTCGCTACAGCCACCCATTCGGTACTTCCCCAAAATTCTCCGGTATCTTCCCGGCGTGCCAACTATTATCTCAGACTTGAAGAATGCGATGTAAATAATAGAGGAGAAGGTGTTTACGAACTGGAAAAGAGCCATTTTCATCGTAAAATTGTCCTCATAGATGGTACGAGTTGCAGGATTTTCCCAGTTGGTCAGCCAGACAGCAAGTTTGTTGTAGGCGTACTTCAGCACGGTGATGGCCACTAGATTAATGGAAGCCGCCATGCCCGTTGTCAGTATTCGAGCCCTCTTCTGAACAGTTCGCTCTGAACTCCTACTAAGGGTAGCGAAAACAGCAGCACGAAACACCACTACGCCGATGACTGCAGCAAGCACAAGACAAATCATGAATGCAATCAAGCTAGCGACTACTGCGAAACGACGAGTGCGCTTCCTTTTATCATCTCTAAACACAATCATTCCAGTGTCTGGATCGGGTTTGAATGGGTCGAGTTCTTCTTTAGTGAGGGACCTAACATACTCAGGGCGAAGTGGCTCAAACTCAGTTTCGAAACCTTCCGTGTCCCATTCTTGCGCTAAAGTTGCTTGTCGACGCTTCCAGAACTCAAGAAAGAGGGTGGCCCAAATAGACGCAACAAAGGCGAGAATAACTGTGCCATCGTTGTCAAAGATATGGGTAATGTAGGCATAGAGACAAGTAGTAGTAGCCAGGCTCCAGTAACTACACTGTCTATCACAAAGAGGGCACATGTACCAGACTCCTTCATTCTTTTTATCACACAGATCACGAAGAGGAGTATATGAGCTTGAAGATATGATGCCGTACAAGACGACAATCAAAGCGACAATTGCGAGTGGGACCAGCATAGCCGTGTAGAAACCAAGCCAGGCAAAGTAAAGACCAATTTCATGACCGAAGTAATTCTTGATGGCCTCGTATGGTTGGTACTTGAAACATCTACCAAATCTTGCCCAGTCACTTTTCAAGCGTTGGCGGTCATTCACAGGGAATTCTCCTTCCTCAAGTTTCGCCGTTCCTTCGTGTAAAGGATAATGCGAGGTGTATGCACCATCTAACACCAGCCTATTGAGACCAACGCACTGAGGTTCCTTGGAGAAGCGGGTATTTTTCAGGATCTGCTGGACCATGTACATTCGATCTATGGTACTGAAAAAAATCTCCTTATCCTCGTGGTTTAAGAACTCCTCTAACTTTTCTTGTTGGAAACGGCCCACAAAATAATCGCCCTTTTCTCTGACTGTTGTATCATGTATACCTAGTGGATTCAAGCGCTTGAGCGTTTCTATCTGCTCTGATCCACACAGGGACTCCAGAAAGGAAGTAATTTGGACATCATTTTTCTGAAGAGGCATTTTCAATCTCATTTCTTCTGCCCGCCTAGATAAGACTTCCCATGTCGCGTGAATTAACACAAAGTGGCGTTCAACAACAGGGTCCTACCGACGAAAACCAATCAAAGTTAGAATTCAGTTAATTGTCAAATGCAAGTTTGAAACGAGAAAAAATGGGCTTTTTGGCCGAACATTTATTAGTTAGCAACGAAAAACAGACTATTTAAACAGGACCTTGATTCTAAAGGTGTTACAGGAGTAATCCGTAGCCCAAAAATAGTCGAATGAACCAGTGGCAATACGCTGTCCAACTAAGAATAATTTTCGCAAATTATTTTTATATACCACCATCTTCGCTAAATTACAAAATAGGGGAATTACACTATTTAATTTTTCTTATCGTGATTGTAAGACTACCATGAAACCTGCGTATTCCGTAATCATTTTGATTTAATTCTTTTATTTTTTCTTGCAGATCCCTAAACGCTTAAATATCTTAGCCCGAGTAAACATTCTGAGAGCGTCTAATTAATTCATTAATTTGAATAAACTTTTTCATATGTTCAACTGGCCTTGTTGTTGTTTCTTAAAAATGTTTCGGAGTGAAAACCTAGTGATACCGTCTTTGATTCGATGTTTTCATGGAATCATAGTTGACAGTTTTCAAGTAGAAAGTTATTTTGATGTTGAAAATTTTCGTGGTAATCTTGGCATTAATAATAGAATTTCTCTTTTATACTAATTTATTCACATTGATTTTTTTGATTTTCTTTTGTAAAATAATAATAATAATAATAATAATTACTATAATTAACGTTTTTCATTTTTAATGATCTTTCATTATAGTAATTATTATTATCGTTATTATTATTATTATTATTTTACAAAGACTTTTAAATTGTTTAGAATGCCACTACTGAGAAAACTTTTGCAGTAAGTAATTTCTTTTTTGAGGGCCATTAAGGAGGATGTTTTTAAAGTATTTTTAATCAGTCTTACACCGGCTTTAGATAGAGGTTAAACAAAAGTATAGAATTTTTTCGTTCCTTAGAATTTACAACGAAATTTCAAGAAGGCGTAAGGTCAAGTGATCATATTAGACCATATTATCATGAGGCCGTGAAAGTATTTGCATGCCGGAATCAGGAAAACTCTAGCGCTTGTTTTTCTTTCATCAGTGCTCTTATATTGGTATGTTATGATGCATGAATGGCCCTTATTTAATATACTTTCTAAAATTATTACTTGTATTATCCTGCAGCCCTTATGTCGGCATTTTTCTATACAAGGACAAATGTCTTCCTACACATTCTTACATCGTGGAAACTGAGACATCGGCGTAATGATGGTTTAGATATTTCTTCAAAAAGGGTTAGAAGTTAAAGTGGCTCTTGCTATTTTTTGTGTAATTCATGCCCTAATAACCTTTTTTATGAAGTTCTAGTAAAATAGAAAACTTTCAGTTTTTAACTGAGTAGAGCTCCAAGCAGCTCTTGTCTGATATGCCGTAATATATTGCACTAGAGAAAGGACAACTCAAAAATAGAAACTGAATACGTTATTTATGAACGTTCATGTCCTTAGTGATAAATTTTTATTTCTTGAAATTTCCAACAGACCATATAACTACTTGAGGAGCAATTTTGAAACAACATTCCCATTTTTGACTACTAAACTCTAACTGGTCAGGAGCAAGTTTTTAATGAGTAGAGTAACAACGTACACTTATCGATCAAAACGGACAAAATGTGAGCATTGTCTTATTTCGTGCTGAATACATGGTTTAAAATTGAAAGAAAAAAAAACACATACTTAGGCTTTTAAGACTGGACTCATCATTTATTGGCCAAATGGCGTTTATCTATGATTATTCAGGCTCTGACCCTTTAGGAATGAGTGAGCTTGTTTTACTACGCAGTCAAAATATCCCTGTAAGAAACTTTTTCTTTTCAAACGCCATGTTTTTTAGTCCCCAGCTTCAGAAAATATATCACCTCCTGACAGACAACCATCGTCTCGATCCAGAAGAGGCTCTACTCGCCAACGCTCACTGATAATAACACATGATATTAAATAATTAAAAGCCAAACATTGATTTAATTATTAAGAATACCTTATCTGCAGTAACAGTTTTGCGCTGTAGAATAAGACCTTTCTTTTGAAGTCGCTTCTCATAAGATCTTCTTAAATTTGCCAATGTCTCCGCCTCTTTCTTGGTTTCTTGATCTTTTTCTTCCTCTTCTTTACATGTTTCGTACACCAAGACGTAGTCGATAAGCAAGCCTTCATCTCTCGGGTACGCCTCCTGATCTACCGAAGGTTCCGTCAATGGCGCATTCTTCGCCTCAAGCTCAACTGGTACATCATTTTGAGACAATTCAGTGTAGGTTCCTCTGTCCATGACAGCGTCAGGTTCCTTTCGTCTTTAAAGCATTCGCGATAAGATGAAAAATAAAAGGTATTTATAAATGATACTCGACACTGACTCGAGATTATTCTACACCTTTCTATGAATTGAAATTAGATCATTTACTGATTCAGTGATATCAACTTTTGCGCGACAGAATTAGTTCAGATTGATGTGTTCTTTCACTTACCTGCTAAATTTCAACATTTTCAGGCTTTTTCACACATGAGTAAGAAACCGTGCGTGATGATAAAAAGTGGCGAGAATGTAGTAGTCCCAGTTCACGGAGCGACACATGCCAACTTTCAGATTTAGCAATATCAGTCTTTGAACTTTTTTAAATATTAATGAGAGCAGTGACACTTCTGTTTATCTTAATGTTAAGTCACGCTTAATTGTTTTTAACCTCACTGTCCTTTTTAACACAGCTACAGCTTGCTTTCTATACGGATTTACGTGTTATTCGGCGAAATACCTTACGGTATTAATGCCAAAAATAACTAATACTATACTCATCAATCCATATGAATATTTTAAACAATTTCTTTGTGTGTAAAAGTTTGTAGATATTCATGCTGTTCAAGCCACCATTTGATTCCCAAAAGGTCATCCCAAGTAATATATTATTCAGTGCCTTAAACTTTGCGCAAATTCTTTAGTATTAAAAAATCCTGAAATTACAAGCCAATATTTCTCTTTAGGCTTTACATTTAGCTGCTAGAATGGATTAGATCATAAGGCCTCGAATATTCCTGAAAACCAAATATCCGTATTGACATTGATTGGCATAAATTTTTACAAGGCCTAAAGTTCTCCATCGAAACAGAGCGAGTTTTTCATTAAACCACGCCATTACTGGTGTAATGTGGATACAAAAAAAACAGTCGCACTATTCAGTAGGCCAAGATGATTCCCTTCTGTCAAATAGGCGAAAAACGAGCTTACTAGCCTTTTACTGGTTATACTATTTGACGGTCTTATAGCCCTCGGCTAAATAAGATAGTTAGCTCTGATCACAAAAAAATCCGTCTTTCATTACTTTGTTTTTGTTTTCTTTTAAAATATTATTGGTTCAGCTATTCTAAACAAAGAGGTTTGAAAAACTTGTAAATTAATTTCTCGTTCTCCTTATTAACTGAACATTATTAACGTTTAGCTCGCGTACTTTTTTGTTTTACGTCGACGATAGAGGCACTCCTTTTATCGAGTCGTTGGGAGTTCTGTGATCTCGTGGGCGTTCTGAGCATCTTCTAAGCGCGAGAAATCGATAAAAGAAGTATTCGGTTCCAAATCTACACCATCTTGAGCATCACAATCATACCCCAGCGTGTTTCGCAGTCCGTTCCTCGATCGTGGAATCGTGGTACGAATTAAGCTTCGAAAACTATCTTTCTTAAAGTATATCGTAGATTAATTTCTTTCTTTCTTTTCTAAAAAGAGCGTCGTAGATTAAAGCTTGATCTGGAAGTACTGACTATTCTTTTTCAACTCGGCAAAGTGCCTTAATTATCCCTTAAAGGCGCTGCACAAAAATTCTAGTAGCAATCGAAGAGTTTAGAGCGTCTTTAAAATGTTCATATAACAACAGTGTTTTTCATTTTATCACTAAACTTCTAAACAGAGCTGCCTTTTACCTGATTTGTTGCCATCGTATATCCTGTACCGCAGAAACCGAGATAAAACTGTTTAAATGTAAACGAAACATTTTTAAAGGAATGATCATGTTACCATAGACCATAGACCAATCATTTGTCTGTTGGCAGTTACCTGCATTGATGTAATGACCTTTTAAAGGAATCCAAAACTTCTTCGGAATATCATTTGAGCGGTTTTAGAGAAAAAGGAGATCAAACCGGTCCAGTCTTTCCCAATTTGAACATGCATAAAACGAGGTTTCTACTTTTAGGGAAAGGTTTACACTTCACCGGACAGTTTTTCATGCCCCATACGGCCTCTGATCACACTAGCTATGTACATGATGGTGATTTCGGCGCGATATCTCCAACTGACGGGGCTGCGCTGCGCTGCGCTGATGTCGAAAGTGAAGCGTCACATATCTGTTTGTTTCTGGGCCACACTTTAGTGCAGTGTGAACGGTATTCGGACCATGGCAGAAGTAATAATTAGGATAAAAGGCTGAAATCCACTGAGACAGAAGTATATATTCAATAGTGTGGATTGGGATTTAGTTCACCAAACGCACTTATACAGGATAGCTGTCCACGTCAGCACGAAACTGCTATCAGTTATAGTGTGAAGACAGCCTTAAATACACAAGCTTTCGATTCCATCCATTCCAAAAAACGTTTCTGCCCCGGTTCAATAAGAATAATTTTGGGAGGCTATAACATTAAACAGGCGCAGCTGGTTATTAACTCCCAGTGAATAAGCCCCTACTGCGAAAGCACTGAAACACAGAAAAGCCCCTGAAAAGGGCTCAATGAAGGAAATACGGCCATTTCAAAAATAAAATTAGCTAGGATATAATACAGCACAGTGACTAGAAACTTCTCTACACTATTCAATCGTTCTTTTAAGTTTTCAAAACCTGCGACTTTTAATCCATTCACCCCTGGAAATTTTGCCGAAACTCGTTTTGAAGGTAGTCGAGAGGTTCCCTGGTCACCATGTCGTGCTGTAAAGAAGTAAAACGTACCATAAAGCCATTTACAGGTCGTACACTTCGCAGCCTTTTGATCCAGATGTAAGATATTAGCTTGGGAAGTTCGGGCATGCGCAGAAAGCAAAATTGGGTTCCCAAGTAACCAAGCAGTCTTGACTTTTACTTTTCGCTTTCTCTCCTCCCCTCTCTTTTCCCATTTTTTGCCTCATTGTTTTTATTTTTCTGGGAATTTAGTGGGCTTCTTTTGGGAGGGAAAAGTTTTCAGGAAAACATTTAGAATCTTAGAATTATATGAAAGGAGAAGAAGACGGGTCGTGGAACAAGATTTTCATGGAAATTTTCAGGTCAATGTTACATGCTCTTTTTTTGCGTTTTTCTCCTGTCCTTGACTGGATTGAGCTCATTCTGGCATGGTTTGAAAGATATCTTTACTCTGTACAAGTTAGCGGCGGACAAAGTTGGCCTTGACCATTACAAGTGGTTACGTCACAAGCGGTAAAAGGGAAGTGGATCCGCACGAGCGGTTACAGGCTGACAGGGGCGTTGAGGTATACTTCATTCAGGGATTTGTACATACATACATACATTGGTATACAGGTCATATACATTGTAATGACCGAAGCTTAAGATCATTTTAACAACCCAATATACAATTAAATATCGACTTCTTTAAGACGAAAAAAACGTTATCACAAATAATTTAATTTGTAAGTTTCGATTTTTTTAGCTACTTCAATTCTTTACTAAAGGTTCGAATACTGTGCCCCTGAATTAGCGGATAGTATTCGATAGAAGTTGCCGTTTTGATCCAACCATAAAACAAAAATTTTGGCAGATATTTCACACAGTATTGTTTCCTTAAATGTTTTTACAAGTTAACAAAATCGCTTTTAAAAGTCTCGCTTGAATGGAAATCAGAAAAGAAACAATACTCTAAAAACGGCGACTCGACCTTGCTTGGAGATAAGATCCGAAATGAGGAGGCAATTAATTCCTAAGGAGCCTGTGTCCGGGCGTGCAAGCCCTGATAAGGAGTATATGTGAGGAAGGACAAAAAAAAATGTTAGCTAGCCAGGTTGCATAGTAACCATTGACTGCCTTTGGTACTAACAATAGTATAATATTCTCACTGCATTGCATACCTTCTTCTTCTTCTTCTTCTTTTTTTTTTTTTTTCAGCCACCGAAGTATTACTAATCCCCAGTTGGACCGACCCGTTTCGGGTCTTTAATTTACAGTAATCTTCCCTGCATGGCCTCACGGGACCAGTTTCCGCGGTCTCCACGCCTGGGACCATGATCGCTATTGGGGCAGAAAGCCGAAACGCTTGCATTTTCTGAGTCTCGCCTCTAAAGCAAGCAAGACTAATGAACAATGAAATGGGTATACTGGGAATTAATGTAGCCTGGTCCCAGTTGTTCAAAAGGTGGATAACGTCACCCACTGGATAAATCTCTATTGAATGGATACTGCAGTTGGTTTCCCTAACACTCATCCGTCAGATCGTGATTTATCAACCCATTGTCAACAAAGCCTATCACCATCCTGGCTTCCCCATTTAGTCCTCTAAAGCCTTTAAGCTGTAAAGAAGAAATAAGCTATACTACTACAACAATGGAAAAACGTACCGCAATTTGAATAAATGCCCTTCATTTCACTGCCATCAGATAGTATCTTGGATATATCTAAGTAAAGCCGTTTGGGATGGCCCATTTAATCCTGTCACCCACCCTTTGTTAGCTGTGCTAGTACCTGTAAGGACCCGCGGTCTCTTTTAAAAGATATAAACGCTTGGGGAATATATTATGCAGATGGTTCATATGTGTTAAAATGACTAGAAATGCCTAAAAGTAAATGACCTCATTGTTTCTCCTCCCAATAATCAACTTGCGTATATAGACCAATTAAATCATAAGCTTTGTGACAACACCCGAAAGAGGCGATTCTTTCAATAATCTAGGGGGTCTTTATAAAGCAACAGTACAGTGAATTGACTCGAGGTGTTCTCTCTTGCCAGACTATTTCTCGTAAGTATGTATGGCCTAATTCAGCCTCACTTATGAATACTGTGTAGATATGACAACGGGATAAATAAGTTTTATTTACTGTCCAAAGTCTAACTATTTTCTAAGTACAAATGAACACGCGCTAAAATACGAGGATTTACCTAGAGGACAAATTAAAAATTATAGTTCTTCAAGAAGCCACACAAGCCCAGTAGCTAGGAAGCATAATAGTTGACGGTTTAATACAATTCTAGCTGAATGAATTTCTTCAGAAGTATAACTGAAGAGTGTGTAGAGTCTAACGCAAAAGTTTTCAAAACCCAGCCAAGGAAGATAGGACACTGTCCATGGCCGCGGCTTCAAATGGCTCGTAATGTTGACTCTATGAAGGAAGTTTTAAAGGATCAAGATTGACGCCAGAGGGACAAGTTCTTTTTGTTGCTGTTTTTTTTTTTTTTTTCGCCACCTTCGAACTTAATGAAAAAGATTTTTATAATCAATACAAAAATACAAAAAAATTGCCAAAACCCAGACGATAGATCCTGGACGATAGACAATAGACGATAGACGAAGAGTATACAACCATACCCCCCCCCCCAATTACACTTAGCTTGTTAACCATCTTTTTGGTGTTTAATTTGCACCAGCAATGCACGGCTTTGGATACAGTACTGATCATTTCTTCTTTTCGGGATACAAGGTACTTATTATCAACAAGTCATGCATTGAGTGTATTTATGTTGCGTCACTTCGAGTCATATGTAGGAAATCAGGTTTAGCCTGTTTGTAGCTGCTAACAACTCTCCACCGTATAAGAGAGGAAGAATAAATTTGACACCACGAATGAGTTTCAGATAAACATGTTCTATCCAATCAAGATCCACACACTCTTTTCGGCACATTTTGGTAACCCCCCACCCCCATCGTACCTCGGGGAGGGGGTTATAACGCTCAATCCGTGTATCACGGAGGGCTAAAAGACTATTTGTGTATTGTGACTTAATCAAATCACACATCCGCATTATTTTCATCCCTGAGTATGGCCTTCTCCAGCTCCTTCTCTTTCTTCATCTTAAATTTCAGCTCCTCTGGGATGTCGGGAATTATCCATGCAATGAAGGCTGTTATGGAATACACAACAAACTGAAAAATGAGAACGAAGGCAAGTCTGGCGGCCAGGATGTTCCAGTACTCGCCCGAGCGCTTGTAAGGATAAGTGTCCTCAAAGTAACCCTTATACCTGAAGAAGCAAAAAAAACAAAACAAAAAAACAACAACAAAAAAACAGTGTTATCACTGATTTAAAAGTTAGGAATATGCTTTAAAAGCATGTTTCTGAATCATTTGCGCTTTTTATGACCATTGTTAAAGACATCCACCTGGAATGTAGCTTCAGTTTCTTTGTATCAAAGCACTGACGCTAGAAAGTGTCTACGAAATAAGCTTGGAATGATCCGAAGCAATAAAATTCACAATTTATAGCAACCGGGATGGACCTACAAAAGGACAACGAATTTCGAGCCATAGAATAAAACTGCACGTGGTTGGTCACGTGATGCATTTTTAAACAATGTTAAAAATGATTTTTTTTTTAATCTAATTTCTGTTTTGAGACTAAATATTATTGAGTTTCAATGCGTTGAATCGTGTTTTTTTTACAAACCTTTGGTGGAATTTGACTGTCTCGTTTTGCTGTTGTCGATTAGATACAAGGATGCAAAACACGAGTAAAAGTAAATGTCACCATGGTATTCGACAAGTCAGTCCAAAGGTTCTATATTAATAATATCTTGGATAACAAATTACTCCTTAATTTTGGCTCGAAGTTTCAGCGTTAATTTATAATTTGACATGTGAAATTATAAAATTGCTTCCAGGCAACGTTCAGACGTCTCAGTCAAGTCGAAGTTTTAAAATGTTCTGAATTAAGATGTCAGGGCGTTAAAAGACGTTTTAGAAAATCTAAACACACAAAAGAGCTCATCAACGAGGATTCTTACAGGTATACTTGGAACTTGTTGAAAATTTTCCGAAACTTGCGAACTCAAGGCACAGCTTGTGCTATAAATTTTTCAGTGCGTGGAGTTCTCAATACTCGATAATCAAATAAGTAAAAAACCACGATTGTAAGCGTAACATTAATTAAACTTTGGACAAAACGTACGTGAAGTCATTTCTATATTTCACTCGTCACCATTTGATTACACATACTAAACGAATATTACCTGCAGTAATCTCGTGTGTAGTTGAGATTCTTTATAGGATCTGCTGGCTGAGTGCCTTTTTCCCATGTATAAAGGGTGTTCAAATCAATGAAGGCAAGACTGTTATTGACGTATCCCTCAAGCGTCCCCTTATTTTGTGAGTAAATCATCTTGTACGTCAGTTTTGGAATGAACTCGGAGGTGAACGCCAAAACAAATGCGTTGACGAGCACTGAAACCTTGGTGATGATCTCTAAGACGTTGTACCAGGCCCCTATGTCTTCCACGCGGGTGGCGTTGGGCCGCCGGAAGTGGCATAAGAAGTTGATGGCATCCACTCTGATCTCCACCACGACGTTGATGAGCGCAAACAATGGTCCAAGGGGAAATGCGGCGACAAACATGGTTATAAAGCCGTACTGTAAAGCTAAAAGAACAACAACAAAAGTGAACACATATTGCCCAGGATAAAAACTCAATGTTTCAAATTGATACGGAATCACACCTGACTTAATTACTCACCGATTTCGAGGTATTCCCAGAACATAAAATTCCTTTCTAAAGGGCTTAAGTCGTAGTCCAATTCGTATTGTGGTCGAATGGTATCTTTTGTTTGTGCTCGTCTTTTTTTCAGCAACATTAGGTACCTAATAAAACCGAGGCAAGAAAACTGTTATATTATACTGCTAGTAAGGATCGATATCACTAGTGTATTTAATGGTGGAGCTCTCTCGCGCGCATAGTGCGGATAGCGGAACACCATGGATACGAAAATTTGGTAATCTGTGCATCCAAGAAATTTTGGCTCTGAGAAGGGAAATGCTAGCGGCCACCTAAGGTGAAAATGAGCGGCAGCGAAAAAAAAAGTGAAGAGGAACACATGAAACGTGTAACTAGGAAGTTTCTGGAAGTTTCTCGTTGTAGTCGTGCAAAGGTTGGAAAGTGCTTGCATAAAAGCACAAATTGCTTTCAGATACAAACTCTCTTGAGAGGTGTACGCATTTTGCCGAAACCGTACCTTGCCAATGACTTTCCAAAAAAGTGAACACATAATTAATGAAGTCGAAAATAAGTAAATTCCATATATAATTTAAGTGCCACGGTACAGCGCTGGAATAGGGTTTTTGGTTTTGCTTAAATGCATAAAAAAATATTATGACAGGAGCAGGAACAGAAACTTACGGTATTCCAATTTCAGTGATGTTGTAGAAAATTTGCTGTCCGACCATGATAGTGGCGATTTGAATGGCAAGTTCTAAAAAGCATCCCTGCTCACTACAGCTATCGAGTCGATATTTGCCTAGCACCCTTGTATACCTTCCAGGTGTTCCAACAATGAGCTCAGACTTAAAGAAAGCAATGTAGAAGATGGATGTATAATTATTAACAAACTGGAACAAGGCCATCTTCCTGGTGAAGCTGTCTTTGTAATCCGTCTGGGTGGGTGGGTTTTCCCAGTCTGTGAGCCAGATTGCAAGCTTGTTGTAAAGAAACTGTAAGATATTTATGACGACCAGGTTAATCAAGGCAGCAGTAACCGTAGTTAGGATTCGAGCACCGCTTTCCAGATTTCTGTTGGAGCTACTACTCAAGACTGCAAAAACGGCTGCTCGGTAGACAACGACGCCGATCATGGCGACGATAACCAAGAGAATCATAAAAGCGATGATACTGAAAACCAAACTCAGTCGACGAAATCGCTTGACCTTCTTTTTATTTGGGCTAATTTTTCCAGTTTTTGAGTCCGGTTTATAAGGATTCAGCTCTTCCTCTGTTAAACTTGACACATACTGGGGTCGGAGTTGTTGTTCTTCTTCTTCAAATTCAGATGTGTGCCATTTGTGTGCAAGAGTCGCTTGACGGCGTTTCCAGAATTCCAAGAAAAGGGTGGCCCAAATTGATGCGAAAAAGGCCAAAGCAACGGTCGCGTCATTGTCAAAGTAGTGAGTAACCTTCGCGTACAGACAGGTGTCGGGGGCTAAATTCCAGTAGCTACACTGTTTGTCACACAGCGGGCACATGTACCAGACGCCGCGGTTATTCTCACTGCAAAGATCCTGGATTGGAATATATGAGCCTGCAGACGCAATTCCATAGATGAACACAATCAAAGCAAATATGGCGAGAGGAACCAACATTGCAGTGTAGAATCCCATCCAGGCGAAGTACAGACCGATCTCGTGACCGAAATAATCCTTTATGGCATCGTAAGGCTGGTATTTAAAGATTCTACCAAATCTAGCCCAGTCTCTCTTCAGCTGGTGACGAAGCTTGACATCAGATTCATCACTTGCGACGTCATGCTTTCCCTCGTGTAATGGGTAACAACTCTCGTAGGCACCGTCATAAAGAAGCTTGGAGAGTCCTACGTCGTTAGGTTCCTCCGAATATCGGGTAGTGGTTAGGATCTGCTGAATTAGATGCTGTCGGTCGATGTTTGAGAAAAATGTATCCTCGTTGAAATCCTGGTGTTGAATGTATGCCGAAAGGCGATCTCTCCGGAAGTTCCCCATGAAATGGTCAGGACACGCATGTACAGAAGCATCCCGTATTTGTAAAGGATTTTTCTGTGTTACTTTGCCTGCTATGCTCGAACCAAAGAAGAATTCGAGCCAAGTTTCAAAGACGGTGTCGTTAATCTGAATAGGAACTTTCATCTTCGTTCTTTCAGCTCGTTCAGCGAGAACCTCCCATGGAGCGTGAATTAACACAAAATGTCGCATCAGCTCACCATCCTACATAAACGGGAAGACAGAGTGATGTCAAAGTTATGCCACGTTTAAAAGATAGATTTTATCGTATCACAGCCTCGACATTAACCTCATCTCATTTCCCATGCCCGTCCCTTTCCAAGTCTCCCACTAATTTAGTTTTGCCAAAAATAATACTAACACTTTGTTTGGCCGACTCCCTTAACTGCTCCCCCCAAATTTTACATTAAGATGAGAGGAGCTGGCAGGAGAGGAGAACATCCACCACTTCCCCATTCCCCATAACACCTTGTTTGCCTCATCCCATCCTTCCAACAAAAGGCAAAATTGTATAATCGCCAATCTTGTATGGCCTTCAAATGCATGACCGGTCACGCCCCTGAACATCTCCCAATTTGTTACCATACCCGTGAGCATGTTAGTAAACGAATATAACTTGGAATAGCCAAGAGCAAAAAACCCTCTTTCTCAGAAGCCTCCGGATGAAGAACCTTTCAAGCTCTAAGATAATTAAGAACCTTTTCTAAAATTTAGCCATTCTGTTTAAGTTTTTTAACGAACCAGCTTTAGCATAATTATATTCTATCCGGTTAATAAGTCCAATATTGTAACTAGGAATAAATTAAGAATTGTGATTAAGAGTTGAGATTGGTTAAATACTAATTATCGTTCCTGAAAAGTTCCTTTGAGGAGGAGAAAACAAAAAAAGATTTGGATTTAAAATGATACATCTCAGGGGCATACAACGACTGTTTTCTGCGAAATATCCTTTCGGACAAGCAAAAATTGCCTAGAATTTTCTATAGCTTGAGGGGGGCTAAAAATTTCTACATGACTGTTCCATTCATGTAATTTTCGAATCTTAAGTAATAAATATCCTACGATTTTCTGAAGTTTAATTTTTCCCATTTCACTCCCCAGGTTAAACTATTTTTGGTAGAGAAAGGAAACCTAAAATTTTCGGAATGGAAAATACGATGCAAACTCGGAGATATCGGAGAAATTCTCCCTTTTGTAAAACTTTAAACTGCTGCTAAAATTTTCGTGAAAATAATACTGAAGCCATTATATTGTTATTTCGAAGACTCAAGATGCCCTAGGATGATCGAACAGTTATAAATTTTTTAGCGCTACTTAGAATACATTTCTAGACATCTAAAAGTACTCTGGATAGCCAAAAGAAGGAAACCGTCGTTGGGTGCTTCAGACATCTGAAGAGATCGACGGTAGAACAGCGCCGTAGCTAGTATGAGGCCAACCGAGCACTCGCCTCGGTAAAATTTTGACGAATTTCGCCGATCATTTTTATTTTACATAAGCGATCATCGGATATTTTTAACGCATCATGATATTACAAAGAATTCAGCAATTCAGTCAATATACTATGAAAAAATTACCATATCAGCGATCTCAAGGGGCTACGTACGTTAACTCAAATTTTTTTTGAACAAATACTGATCAAAACCATTGGCGAGGTTAACGGTCACCCAGATTATGTAGCTTGTTTCTGATTATTGCTTTTTAAATTCCACTTAAATTAACTCGAAAAAAAGTTACCGAAAGGCCCAGAAAACGCTGCAAATCGCATTTCCGAGAGACTAAAGTTCAAAATTTCTCGGGGGGGCATGCCCCCGAACCCCCCTAGCAACTCCCGCCTGCCTCGGTTGGCCGTTTGGTCTGGCTACAGCACTGTAGAACATGGACAAACCGTAAGCACGGTTTATGTTTCATATTAGGTATTTGGAGAACGGACCTCTGGAACCAGGGTACTTCTGATCAGAAGAGGTTCCGTCATTACCTGAACTGTGAGCACAGAAATAACGTTTTATATAAAATATAGTTGAAATGTTGTTTTTTTTTTCCTGAGCAGGATAGTAGAAACGAAACAGTGAAAACCTGTTTTGTTTATCTACATATTTATTTATTTATTTATTTTTATCCATTTATTTATATATTTG